CCCCCCCCCCCCCTCGCTTCCTCCAAATCCCACCCCCTAAATCCATCTTTGGGTTAATTTTAACGTGAAGACATTAATTATTTCTTTTTTTACCTTCATACAATAGAAGCACAGCTTCAAAGAAATAAAGAAGCTATGTTCTGAACAACTGGAGTTGTTATCAAAGAGGCATCTGGAGAGTATCATTACTGGCAACGAAATGGCTTCTTCTGATGACGAGAGCATGGACGAGCAAGAAAAGCTTGATGAGTTACAACCTATTGAAGCATTGCCACAGAGACAGAATGTGAATGAGGACAAGAAGAGAAAGCGGGTAGGCATGCTAGTTATTAATAAATAAAGGACTGACAAAAATTTTAATTACTGCCAGATGAAGGTCTAAAAATCAAATAATTCAAGATACAGTAATAGCAAGCTGAAAGCAGGTGAATATCCCTCCTTCGTACTCACCTTCTCTCTCCATGAAAGCTGACACCTTCTAGTGGCTTCCAACAGAAGTTGACAACAAGTTGTCAAAAAAGGAAGTCTAAAGGGGGTAGATTCTAAACTTCCCACTCCCTGTACTTTTTAACCCCTGTTCCCACCTCTTCCTTACTGGTTCTTGATTTTTCTGTTGGTCAGGTTACCAGTAATTTGCAAAGATTTTATGGCAGTTTGAAAACTGTTGCAAAAGGCCTTTCGCATGCAATGTTACAAAGTGTTTCTTCTTTTTCCCTGATCCATCATTCTTCCTAGAAATCCCTCTACCTATTCTCCTTTCTTACACCAATTTAATACCAAGCTCCTTCTCTCCCCTCCCCACCCTGTATCATCTACATGTAGTCATCAGGAGCATTGCCTTTGGTAACATGTCCGTTCATTATGGTCTTACAGGATAGAGATGGTAATAGAAAGGAGAAGAAAGTTAAAGAACAGGAAAAGAAAGAGAAAGATATGATCATTTTCCAGGAAATGATCACAATTCCCAACCAAGAGGAAATCGATGAGCTTGTTGAAGGTAACATTGAATTTGGGCCCCGTCCACACTACACTGGAGAAATTTGAAAACGCAGCTCTATTTCTACGGTTAGGCCTACCGTCCACAATAATACGTCGCGAAAACGGAGCTTTTCGAAAACGCTCTTCAAACCAGAGGAATTTGCAAACGCCGGCTTTNACCCTCTCTAAATTCCACTCCCTAAATCGGTCTTCGGGTTGATTTTAATACAAAGACTTAATGAATTATTTTCTTTTTTTTTACCTTTATGCAATAGAAGCACAGCTTTAAAGAGATAAAGAAGCTATGTTCTGAACAACTGGAGTTGTTATCAAAGAGGCATCTGGAGAGTATCATTACTGGCAATGAAATGGCATCTTCTGATGCCGAGAGCATGGACGAGCAAGAAAAGCTTGAGGAGTTACAACCTATTGATCCATCACCACAGAGACAGAATGTGAATGAGGACAAGAAGAGAAAGCGGGTAGGCATGCTAGTTATTATTAACAAATACAGGACAGACAAAAATTTTAACTACCACCAGATGAAGGTTTAAAAATCAAATAATACGCCATATTCGTATTCTCGGTATTGGACTGGAACTAGCTTGTAATGGAGGCTTGTGCAGGGAAATATCATTAAAAAGAGTTAACTGTCATTTACATTAGAAAAGACTTCCCACACTAACCTCCGTTCCAAGCTAGGTCCAGTTCATTAGCAAGCTGAGAGCAAGTGAGTATCCCTCCTTTGTAATCACCTTCTCTCTCCATGAAAGCTGGCATCTTCTCATGGCTTCCAACAGTGGTTGACAACAAGTTGTCAAATAAGGAAGTCTAAAGGGGAAGGGGGATTCTAAACTTCCCACTCCCTGTACTTTTTAACCCCCGTTCTCACCTCTTCCTTAATGGCTCCCACCTCTTAATCTTTCTGTTGGTCACATTACCAATAATTTGCAAAGATTTTATGGCAGTTTGAAAACTGTTGCAAAAGGACTTTAACATGCAATGTTACAAAGTGTTTCTTCTTTTTTCCCTGGTCCATCAATCTTACTAGAAATTCTTCTTCCCATGCTCCTTTCTTCCACCAATTTATTTCCAAGTCCCTGTCCCTCCCCTGCCCACCCAGTATCATCTACATGTAGTCATCAGGAGCATTGCCTCTGGTAACATGTCTGTTCATTATGGTCTTACAGGACAGAGATGGCAATAGAAAGGAGAAGAAAGTTAAAGAACAGGAAAAGAAAGAGAAAGATATGATCATTTTCCAGGAAATGATCACAATTCCCAACCAAGAGGAAATCGATGAGCTTGTTGAAGGTAACATTGAATTTGGGCCCCGTCCACACTACACTGGAGAAATTTGAAAACGCAGCTCTATTTCTACGGTTAGGCCTACCGTCCACAATAATACGTCGCGAAAACGGAGCTTTTCGAAAACGCTCTTCAAACCAGAGGAATTTGCAAACGCCGGCTTTGAGTTTTAGTGTGGACGGAAAACATTTCGAAAAGAGAGCTTTTCGAAAAAGATGACATTGCGATAATCACGATAACTCCCCTGCCCGAGTTTTCCTCAAACACAAATCCAAAATGACCGGTGATTGTTGCGTTTCCAGAGTGAAATAGCGTTTTCAAATTTCTTCGGCGAGAGATGAGTTATATCGTAGTTTTTACGCAAGGCTGAGTTCTTTTCGTTGGGCAGTTGTTGTTCTAAGCACTTAAGGGCCTGAGACACTGATTGACTTTTGTTTATAGCTCAAATGAGAACAGGACAGGGATGCTGTTTTTTTCTTGATATCCATAAAGTGCCCAACAACAAAACGCGAATTCGGTTGAATCTGTACGAAAACTAATCTTTCACATCCCAAAACTAAATGAAACACTAAGTTTTAAAGATATTGCAGCTTGCGCTCTGCAATGTTTTCTATAACTTGCATTACAACAAAACTTGATTGCGTGCCGTGAAGAGCTACATATAACATTACTTAATGGCAATGCTTTCCGTCTTTAACTTTATCAGTTCACAGCAACTTTTCTCTATTTAATACCAAGCATTTTATTTGCAGGAAGTAGCGCTACTCAGGAGCAAACCTCAGAGGACCCTACCCAGTCGAGTGCAATAACTGTGGACGAAGAGGCAGAGTTAAAAGAACTCGAGTTCCGCGCGCGAGCCCTCGAGTCATTGGTGCGCGCGCGCGAGCGGCAGATGAAGAATGAACAGACTTGAAACCCAATGCTCAGATGGTGTCACAACGAGAGTGGGTTTCTAGGTCCTCGTTTGATGAGCCACTGTTATATCGGGCCTCGATGTTCTAAGTTTGTCAGAAGAATACAATATTTGAATGGAACCAGGAACGTTAATCCTAAAATTTGGAATGGGATGAACTTGAAGTTACCATTTATAGAGAAAACACTTTTAAGAACAGAATTCTCGAGCATACGGTTCGTTAATATTTCAACGACTTTTCCATGTTAAGTTTTTGAAAAGATTATAATATATTTGTGCAATTAACGTTTAGGAAATTTCAGTTTAACACTCCCTTTTGACTGTTTCCCTTGAAGGCAACGATAAGAGATTCTAGTAAAAGTCTTTTTCAATCTCCCATCTGCTCTATTAATTTGTAATAATCTTTTTATAAGAATATTTAAGCAAGTGTAGGATTAGGCCTAGGATTGAACGTCAATAGCAAATAAAATAATCCAATAAAATAACATGTTTTTATATAGCTTTCTGCTTAGGAGTGTACGACCCGAGGATGAGGCTGAAATTCAAGACACGTTGATTTATCATTGGAGTGGAATGTCGACTTTTCGAGTCATCATAGGGGAAGGAAAATTGGCTCGAAAAACTGGGAGGTGTGAAAAAAGGTGAAATTCTCCTTACCTTTTGGCAAAGAGGAAAAAAAGCTTCAAATAATCTAAAAGTTTGAAAAATTGGGATTCGACTGTAGTTTATCTATACAATGATACAATGCAATAAATACTTTATTAAAGAAAATTATAAAGAAAAACAGTAATAAAATATCTCTTGAAAGGGGAGATCGTGAGGTTGACCCCATTTATAAACGATATCCCCCCCCCCCCGCCCCTAACCCAAAAAAGTCTCAGTCTAGAGGATGTGCATGGTATTAAACTGTCAGAAATGCCTGGAATGGGGGGTTTAAGTAACGGCTGAGAATATTGAGATGACAGTCAGCTGAGATGGTTGACCTTTTCACCCTAGATAGACATGAATATATAGCGTAACTTTTACTTGTAAATAACCAAGGCACTTTTACCATTGTCTAGACTTATGGACAGCGTTGGACCCCATGATTCCGTTGCCTAGCTAGCGTTACCTTACTTGCGTGACCAATCAGACTGCTCCCGAGAGGCTTTTCGGTCGCCTTACCACGAACTAAAACGGCGCGAAAAGTCGCGTTGACGAGTCGTGACTTTTTATCAATGATAAAAATGCTTCGTGTGGTGTGGTTAAAGGTCTTTAAAGTTTCTTCGGTCAAGTTGAAGAAGGAACCGTGGATAGCAGTTCGAAGCAGTCTGAACTGAAAAACATTTATGCAACCTAGGTGCCAAGTGGGACTTTGCATCGTATGAGCTTTTGTATGGGAGCTACTGTTTCCGCCATGGAGTTTCCGAACCGGCTAGAACCTTTCATATTTCAGACGAAGGATGCACAGAATACAACGGTACGGTCTTTTACGTTATGCTTAAGCTTACTTTTTCCATGTTTTATCAAAAAAGTGATAGGTGGTTACTTCAGGTCCTGAACTTATGTGCATGTATTTGTTTTTCTTTCTGTGTTTATTGGAGCACGCACACGAGCGCGTGCACAAAATTGTCACGATATTCCCTTCAAGCTAAGCTCAACTGCGAAATAAATGCTTGTTTTGTCTTAAACGAGCTTTGTGACCTATACTTTTACTGCAAAATTTTGGCGTTGAAATTATCTTCAGTTAAGTTTTAAAAAAAATTAAAGAAAAAATTGTTCGGAAGAGGGGTAACATATAGCTTAAAGCGTGCACAAAACTGTTACTGGAGGATGCAAATTATGGCTGAAAGAAAACAACAACTCGAGGAACGTTTTGAGTCGATGTCGATTAAAACTGTGTGATTTTTTCATAGACTATACAATACTTTGTTCTATATGCTTTTTTCGTTTTCAAATATAACTTTAAAACTTTGCTTCAAAACAGTGCTTGGTAGGGAACATGTAAGGAAAGTTCAAAAATTATCGTGCGACACTTTTATTTCTGATGAATCACTTTAAACTTATGCCCTCTATATATGGTCCCCTGACTACAAAAAAATAACGTCCGACAAACTCGCGCTGACTTAGTAGAAGTATTTCTTGGTTACATCACTGTAGCTTTTTACGATTGAACGAAAGTACATTCCCTCTAATTTCGATTAAAAAAACAACTGTAAAGCAGTTTGTACCACTTAATCACCTTTGCCTTCTGAAAACAATTTCAAAGGAGAAGTTGTGGAAGCAGCCACGAGAGAGCGGTCAGAGCACTAGTGAAGACTGCTAAGGACAAGGCTGGTGCCGGCTTTTGCTGTAATGATTTTAGTGATTCCCTTCAGACAAGGCTGTGTAACAAGGTCAGGCCGGGAAAAGTTGTGTGGGCCGTCTTTCGAATGGGTTTCAGAGGTATGAAGTTGCATTTACACTTGTAAGTGTGCTATCACGTAATTTTGTCCATATTTAATAGCATAATCATAATTTAGATGAAGGTTAACTATAGATGGACGAATACCACCATTGAGCACATGGAGTATTCTTACAAGATATTTTCATGTGTCAAATTAACTATAGCAAACGTGAAAAGTTTGCCGTTCGCCGTTTTAACGCGAAGAGGCATTTCATGTTTGTTAACGACTGTTTTAAGATGTTGGCTCCATTTGTTTATCTTTTCATGACTGCTACGAGAAACTAAAGTTTAACACGAAATGTTTAAATATTACAATGGAGCTGCCATCTTTTTCGAGAAAAAAAAGATTTAACTCGAAATTGGTCAGTTTCTGTGTGGTTTATTCCTAAAGAAAAAAATTTTAGCAAAGATGCCTTATGCCTTAGAGCTCCCCACAAATTCTTTGTGACAGTTTTAAGGTCTGCGAAAAGTTATAAGGAGTGTTCGTTCAAGTCTCCAAACATTTCGTATTCAATCGAAAGCTCTTCGGAAATCATCAGATGCCACTCGACACCTTTCGGCTAAAAGGTTGGGCACCGCCGTTAAGTTACAAAACAGCAAAACTGAAATGAAAGTTGATCTGTCAAATTTTAACTGATAGCGGAGATGAATGGTGTAATTTTTTTCGACGTACAGCGACTGAGAATCCAGCAACTCCACACAAATTAAACCTTCTATCTATCCCCTCCTCATGGCACCTCTCTACTCCACAATCGTTTCTCCTGAAGAGGGTCGAGGGAGTCGCGTTACGCTAAGAAAACGATGAAACAAAACACAAATTTACACTTGTTGTTATCCAAAGCATTTCCTACTTGAATAAATCGTTTTGACAAAAGCAAACGATCGAGAAACCAATAACACAAACAGCATAGGATTATTACATCGACAACTAAATACAATTGAAATACAATTTAAAATCCAAACAATCAAAACCCCGCTATATTCTTTTATTTTTCATTAATGAGATGCATGGTATTTTTCTTTAAGATAGTAGCCAAGAATCAAGTATTCAGACATCAAGGATGATTATGTTCAGTTTGTAGTCAGCGTGTAGACAAATCGCACGATTTATTGGCATAGTTTCTAGACGCCCCTTGTTCGATGTAATATTCTGGCCTTCAGCTGGCTCCGTGATCTCTTTCCGAAACCTCCAAGCAAATCAGGATCTGTTTAAAAAAGAGCAGAATTTTAATCATCTTTTGAAATACTATCGAACATATGGCAATATACGGCCAAAGGCAAGGCCAAAAGCAAAAGCCCTTGAAAAATTATGTCTAGGGCAACTGTGTCAGCCACAACGGTCATAAACTGGGTATCAAATTTTTGGTCTGGTCATAAATAGGGAGGGAAAATCGCAGATTTTGGTCATAAGTAGGGTAAGGATTTTGGGAAGCGGGCCGCACACCCCCACCAAATTTGTCTGCGAGTACCCCCCCGGGCTTCTTATCTCGCAGAAAACATTCGAAATAGCGATTTCTTTCATGAAAAAGACTACTTAATGGGTTCAAATCTTACCAATTTCCCAGCAGAAATATTCCACCTTGATTTCATCGACTGGTTTTATCCCTGGAATTTTGCCGCGAACAGTACAATAGGAACCAAAACCTTGAACTCGAGTAGTCTTGCAAACAAATTTAATGACGCCTACCGCCGCAGGAACTTCCTGCCATTCTCCTGCGTCGTTCTTTTTGCTAACACTTTTGATAGTGAACCATTTCCCGGGGTAGCTGCAGTTCAGTTGTAGGGGCAGATTGCCTATAACTGAAAATCATAAACGAAATCTGATGGAGTTCGCATCACGCTAAGTGATTCCATAAAAATATTCTTCAGAGGCCTTACAGGAAGACCCTCCTCCTCCCCCGTTCCATCCTAGGAGGACAGGAATAACAAGGATTTGCAGTGGTACATACCACGGAGAGGCTCTTCGTCCATTGTTTCGCCGAGATCGAATGGTTATTATTATTTAGTGGAGGGAAGAAAAGCTGAGAACCCGGAGAAAAACCCTTGGAGCAAGGGGAGAACCAACAACAAACTCAACCCACTTGTGACGATTCGAAGACGGACCCACCCAGAATACGACTGTACTCCTCTGCCCGTATTCCCGCACTTCATCTGTTTGATTACGGAGAAAATGCGAGCGGAAACTGGATCCTAGCGCGTCTTATATTTGCTACTAATCTCGACCCAGATCGCCCACAGCAAACACAATAAGATCTTGGTAGGATATTACTCTGTTCCTGATCTGTTCACTCACCATCACAATGAGGATCCCTATGCGTGAACAGACAGCGGGTTGCACCTAGGTTGTGGAATGAACAGCACAATTTCATGTCAATACTGAAATGTCTTTGAATTGAGCTACTAGCCGATTCCAGACCAGTCCCTCGACCGGCACCTCTTCTTATCAGGCAGCGTCGACACTACGCCGGATAAATTTAAAAACACAGTTTTATTTCCACACCTAGACCTACCGTCCACACTAATCCGTCACGGAAATGGACCTTTTCGAAAAGACTCTTCAAATCGGAGGAATTTGAAAACGCCGGCTTTGCGTTTTGGTGTGGATGGAAAACACTTTGGAAACGGAGCTTTTCAAAAAAGTCACGATAATCATGTGATTTTTCTGACCGAGTTTTCCTCAAACACAAATACAAAATGACCGGTGATTGTTGCGTTTTTAACCCTTTGAATACCAAACGTTCGCCAAAAAATACCGTTTTTCACCGTTTAGTCAGGTTTTTTAGCTGCCATGACGCTAAATAAGCCTAAGTTTTGCTAAAAGAGCTTTTTTTTACTAAAAGAAGAGATTTTTGGAGGATTAGGTACAAAATTGAGCAAAACTTCAATTACGGGCATGCGCATAAACCAAAATTTGGCGTAGTGGACCATTTTACCACCGTTTTTGCACCAAACCTGATAACCTTGTGTGTCGATTTGCGACGTCGGAATGTCGTCGATATCTAAACCTGACCATTGTGCGGAAAGCCCTAGCCTAGCACTACTGTCTGCTTATCAAGAATATCTGATGACATTTAAATTGATGACGTCACAAGTGATACAAAGAGCACGACCATTAATTACGCATATATGCGTAGTTGGTTTTCAAAGGGTTAAATTCCTCCAGCGCGGTGTGGACTGAACAAATTTGATACGTTTTCTTAGTGAAAACTCCGTTTTCAAATTCCGCCGGCGTGGCGCGGACGGGGCCTTTTACTTGACAGAAAACTCTGAGAACATTTCGTTTCATTATCATCAACATTAAGGAGCTACGTCACGGTTTGAGCATCTTGAAAACTTTAGCCTAAATTTTTAAGTTCTTCGTTTGTAATCCGTGTTAATCTTCTCCATCCTTAACCATCCTTGTTCCTTTTTGGTTTATTAGTTTCTCTTTTGTGTTTTTCTATCTTGGTAAACTGATGTGTTTAGGTTTCCTTCAATTTAAAGGTAATTTTGTACGTGAAAAGTTCTACGAGTTGAAAATGCAGAGTACAACTATCAGTTAAAATAGTTTACATTGTTCTTTGTAGACCTTTATACAGTGTTACACGTTACCCTATTTGTTTCCGTCAAGGAGACATTTGGAATCTTAACATAACTGAGGGCCTGTAACTTTGTGAGCGTTTGATTACCGATTTAAATAACCAAAAGAGTGAATTGTGCCACATTTATTCCACTGTTCGCCAACTATTGTCATGAGGCTTTGTGTGTTTTGTAAACGAAAGATAGCTTTGTTTGACATTAAAAGTAAACAAGCCATTCTACGTTTTATCCTTTGTATGAAATTAAACAATGAATTTAGCATAAAAGGAACTCTTCTGGCGCCAAAAATCTCGCAAGTCTTTCGAATATTTTTGCGCGGCCACAATGCGATTTTCTTCAAACTGATCCCTGAATTTCTTTTCAACAGTATCAAATTAAAACTTTTTGTTCCCAAATGACAAACGAAAATCTTGATAATAGTGGACTTATCATTACAGAACAGAAGGTAGATACATTGCCATAAAAAAACAAAACAAAAACATTGGCTCATAGCGATAGCGATAGCGAGCAGCCGTCTTGCTGGTCGGAAAAGGGTTACGTTTTGTCTGGAAAACGAAGAACGAAAACTCTCTTCTCATTCGGTGACCCTCCCCTCCCCTCCCTTCCCTCAATGGGCCAGGTCCTGATGTAACTGTCGGTGAAATAGATAAACGCGATAATTCTGGTTTTGACCATCAGTCACCTGCATGAAACGTTTTGGCTCACAAACCTTCAGCGCCGCTCGGAATTTTACGACACTTCCCAAGTTATACTTATTAGTACAGAGAACAAGTTAATTTTACAAGTAGCTCATATGCCATCGAAAATTAAGATGAAAAACTAAACCGTTAAATTATGGCGCCTTCGTATAGGTCCAAAACATGAACACAAAGCTCACAACACTTAAAATAGAAGCCGAGGTACGAGATAAAAAAAAAGCTATTTCTTCTCCTGGTGAATTTCTCTAGCCGACAATTCTAAACCTTAAGTCGCTTCAGTTGTAAAATTAGCTATTTATGACTGTTTTATCTTACCTACCTGCGTTACGTGTACAGAAAGATACAACTGCGACCAAACAGGCCAAAGAATTGAAGACAAGCAATTTGACCTTCTGAGATGTCATCTTCATATTCGCCAAGCAAAACAAGGAGTTTAGATTGCCGTACGTGCTTGTTGAAAAGTTATTTGTTTCCTGGGAAAGACAACACTTACAACTTTTGGCACAACTTTGCAAAGAATCCGGCGAAACCTTATTTATATGACAAATTTATTTCCGTCGGGAACTAATGTATTCTGTTTCAAGGAGTGTGATTGGTTGACAGTTTGTACTGTTCTTTGATTGGAGTTTCTGTTTGTTTAATTTATTTACACATTGACGATTTTGAATAGAATGTTTTAAATGATTCATCTAAACATTGATTTCCTTGCATTAGTTTGGCGAGACGGTTTGTTTAATTTATTTGCCTATTAACGGCCGGAAACTTGAAAAGAATGTGTAAAATTCTTTCAGATATTACGTGTGCATGCTATAAACTCAATGCACGATACTTTTTGGTTATTTGTTTTCTTCTATGTAATATAAGCACTTGTCTTCAATACTTCAAGTTAGACTGAAGAAAGGTAAGCAGAACTCTTTTCAACATTCAAGAATTGTGTAGCCAGATGTTTCAGATCTCCTATGACCAAGCCTAGTTTACCGTTCTGTTTATCGTGAACGTGATGTAATTTAATTTTGCCCTTCAGTCGTTCAGAAAAATATTTCCTCAAGTCATAAAATGCTCGCCTCGTCCCCGAAATAGTCGTTCTTATGATAATGTGTGGAAATAGTCCATTCAAAAACGCCAAAATTTTTATATAACCTCACTACAGTTTCCGTGAGAATTTACGTTGCTGCAAAGATATACTCCGGTTTGCATTGTAGAAGATTGATCCTTTGTTCATTCGCATATCATCGCTCGCTTGAATGACTAAACCTACCGATATGTATACCAATCTCTCTCCATGTCATAAGCACATAAGGCTTTGACATTGCCCTTCCGTCCACTTCGGTTTCCTGTTAGAGCGCTAACAGTCGCTCGAGACTGCCACCCAGCAGCTGGCTTTTTGTTCTCTATCATTCTCCTCCATGTTGTTTTGGGTCTTCCCCTCCCCTAGCTCTGGCAAATGATTAAAACAAATGCTAACTAGGTGCCACACGCATGATTTTCACGATTAGTTTCAGTAACCGTAGTTTGACCACGCTCAGGGTGAGACCCAGGAAATTGTTGTGGCGCGCGTTTGAAACAAATTGCAAAGATCTTTCTTTAGGGACGGAGGGGGGTGCCTCAGTGTTTCCCGCTGATTTACTACTTTCACGCATGCGCGGTAACTGAACTTGCTTTTTTGACGTTCATGTGTTTCCGTCAGAAGAGGTCAAAGCTCTAAGAAACCAGACCTGTGAGAAACAATATTTTGCTACGTTTACTTTTGGGCCAAGTAATAGACGGCGGAGCTTTGAAAACATATGGTCGGACTCAACTGGCTTGCCGATGGCTGGGCAAGGCTGCCTTGTTTTTCTAGCCCCTTGTGGTTATTTTTGGCAACTAGAAGTCTTTTTAATTTTTTTTTTTTATGATCTAATCACATGTTAGTTACCAATAAAGTTGTTGTTGGTATTGTCAGGAGTTTGTTGTAACGGTTGTCGTGCATATTCCGGTGATTAAAATTAAATCAGCTCGACTCAAAAACGTTTAGGATCATTTGGCCAGCCATGAATACGGTGTTGTAATCCGTCGGGGGCGGAGGGAGGGGTTGCAGCCATGTGAAAGGATTGGGGATGCTCGTTGAAAAATTTAAATTAAACCCCTAAAGGCGACCAATTTGGGCGTGGCTCGAACTTTATTTGACCCCTAAATTAAAAGATACCACAACGGCTATTTTTTTACTTTGAGAGCAACCATTAAGGATAAGTTAACGGCTAAAAATAGTGGCGTTTCCTCCTGAACTCCTTGATTCAGACCGAGATCCGTGATTTACCACCCCCCCTGCTAAGGGAGACGACAAGGATCCCCCCGACCTTTTTACATGGGACTCCCCCTTCCCACCAATATTGTAATTTCCTTAAAAATATTCCCCTATACCTAGAGTCAAGAAACCCCTGAACTGCCTGTTTATTCAATCATGATAATCTAAACATTCGTATTAAGCCTTTCAAAGGGGCCGAGCATGATGACTAATTGTGTAAGAAAACCCCAGGCTAAATTCCCGGAATGCTTGCTTCTCTTAAGATGATGAAACCTTTCCACAGCTCCATCGTTGTTTACAGGTAGAGCTTCCGAAACATTTGTTTCGCTTGAGAGCTTTTCCTACGAATTCAACAGTGGTTAATTGTTGTAAAGAAAAAAGCCTATCTTACGAAAATTGAGCCTCAAAAGAAAACCCATTTATACCCAAATCACCCAATGAAAATACAATTAATAATCTCTATGATATTAATTTAATATTACTCTTTGTTCGTCGTTCCCCGGTTTAAATTGCTTTTGAAATCATATCCTATTTTGTAAGATCACATTGATGATTGTGTAATGCCTGAGTTTGACCGTGGAGACTTCTTTTCGACAACTGAAAAACTCCACTGGTAAAGATCAGGCCCAATATCACTCAGATTTTATCTGACACAGATTTCACACGAAAAGGCATATTGGAATATTGCCGAGAAATTTAAACGATATTAAAACTTGAGTTGAAAGACATTAAGGATTCGCAATTAAATTTAACAAGGGTTATCAACGAGAAAGCCTTTGAGAGATCTAATTGCCGAAAGAACGATTGGCTTATACGAAGTTTCATTTGGGAAAACCGGAAAAAACAACTAGATAATGTCCGCAGGCTGGACTTGTTAAATTCTATAGTTACCGTATTATCTAGCTTCTGCCAAGATCTGGAACCTGTAAGCTTATTGTGTATGATGATGATTTCTTTACTCTTCTCAAGAAGTGAATGGGTTAAAAGTCAATAAACGCCAGTCGTTTTCGTTTATAAAGACGTCAAATCTCTAATTGGGCACATCGGTTCTCATTCAACTTCACAATGATTGAAAACGTCTTTGGGGCTTTTCCCCGGTATATTTAATTTGTAAATACATTGGCTGGGTTTCCGTCGGTAGCACATGTAATCAAGGTTGTCGATCTCACATGTAAAATTAAAACTTTTATTGAACTCCCACAAAAACAAAAAGAAAACAAAGGCAACATACAGACTAGCAACGGGTCTGTCGTGTCAAATTTTAATTAACGTCTTGAGAAAAAAATTATTTTTGATGCGTTTTGGTTTCCGCGGAGAACAGATATCGTAAACTAATCGGCGTCAAAAACCAGTTGTCGTTTTTAAGCGTCCGTGATAACAAAATGAAAAAATAAGGCAACCTTAACTAAATATTAGCTAGGAATTATTGGTTTCCATTTTTTACAAGGGCTTCTCCGGTGTAAACAGAAATCAATGCGTGCATAAGAGGTAATTATTCTATACGTGTCATCACTAACGTAAAAGACAGCGGTGTTAACTCGAGTGCATGAAACATTAGAGGTTATATTCCTTCGCGCAATTATTAGTGTGTGAATTTTAACGCCATTTGGAAGTGCCAATTCGCTCCAACGCGTTTAATATATAATGCAATTTTCGCCTTAAAACTGTCACCCATCCTTCATTTCCAGTGGATACGACTTGGCAACAGAATTGTGAGCCACATATGGGTTTTTCCCACGTCTGTGGACTCGAGTGAAAGCAGCATAAGACATGCCAACTAGCAGATCGTAAGCCAACGAGACTTTGTTCCGAACGAAACGATTTTGAGTATGGATTTTCACGACTAACCCACCCGATCATCTACCTCACGTACGCAATGAACGGCACGTCCGCCAATCACACCACATCAAGCGCCTTGCAAACAACCGTTAACCTCGCAGTCTACTTCATCACGTTCTTTGTTGGCCTCACGGGAAATCTATTGGTAGTGGTCATTATAATCAGGAGAAAGACGAGAAAACGCATGAACGATTTTTTCGTGTTGAACCTCAGTGTATCCGATCTCTGCCTGATCGTTTTCTGTTTGCCACCGTTGATCTACGTGGAGTTGATCGGGTTTGTTGGTTCTCGGTTTTATTGCAAGTTTGTATGGCCGATGGTGACAGTCTCGTATTGTTCAAGTATTTACACCATCACTTCCATGGCGTGCTATCGCTGCAAAGTGCTCCTTCATCCTTTTGAGCTCCCGCCTTGTAAGAAAACTGTCCTGTTGTGGATCTCAACGATATGGTTCCTCTCCTTCGTGGTAGCAACACCGCTAATAGTCGCCTCAAAATTCAAAGAAGATTTCCACGGCAGCACATGTTATGAGGACTGGCCCAGCATCAGTTTTAAGCGAGGCTATACCGTAGCTCTCTTCATTTTGCAATATCTGTTACCCTTGTTGACGATAGCCGTCGCCTACATACGAATCGGTATCGATTTGACACGAACCAAAGTTCGGCGAGCGTCGGTTACTAAACGTGGCGAGGTTTCGGCTGGAGGAGTTCGAAAGGAGAATATAAAGATCATCAAGGTTTTATTAACAATTGTTATTTTGTTTGCATTTTGCATGTTACCGGTTCACCTCGCGTGGATGTCGTTGGATTTTGGCGGCAAACGAGGGGTCGAAATCTCGGACATCATTTTCCGATTTTCGGACATTTTGGCCATCTTGCACAGCTGCCTAAATGCAGTGATCTACGGAGCTCTTACGAAACACTTGCGACATGGATTTGTAAAGTATCTGTTACGTCCTCTATCCATTTGCTACGAATTCCGAAATGATGAATCAAGAACCAGTTCGCAGAGGAGGCGAACAAACGAACCTTCAGCGGAGGAGATGGAGACGTTTTCTTTTCGCGGCAAAAGTAGTTTTTCACACAAAACTGTCGTTTAACACCGGGAGGTCCAGCCTCTTTCCCAGAACAAGCATTCTGCATGGAAACGAGGTTACGCGCGCCAAGTAAACTAATCATTTGTTCTCTTTTTCTGTTTTATATTTGTAAATGTTGCTCTTAGTAGCGGATGAAATATTGAACGTTTTCTATGCCAAATCCATGACAATGTACCGCTATTTTTATGAGCCCACGGTTTTTGTGAAAAATTGCTAGGCAACAGAAAGTATCACTTTGACGTCATGCTGTCGTGTAAGGTTTCGGTGTCCTCGTGACCACCCCTGTGTTCTTCTGATTGGTTAGAAGGAATCAAAATGCTTCCGCCCACTGGCACAAACCAAATAAAATCATCAAAGTTTAAGGCTCTTAAAACAGGTCACAACAAGGCATCCTCATTACCGGAAAACAACATATCATTAAAAAACTTTACTTTTTTAGAACTAATTGAAAAAGAAATTGGTCTGCTTCTTCTCTACCCTTATCAGCAGACGTTTTCCCTGCTTTCATTCGAGACAAAAGCTGGCACACAAGGTAGAGTTTTTTCCAGTCATTTTAATCGTATATTAAATAAATAAACACGTTAATTCATCTCATATATGTCTATATTCAGCAATTCACGGGTGTTTTTCCGCGGCAGAATGAAATTTTCTTAGCTGAGAATCCTCTTACGTACACGGTAAGAATAATTACGTTACTAGTTAAGAGGTTGTTGCACATTCTTCCTCCCAAAAACATTTTGTGTTTTACTGAAATACGACTGGCGGGTAAAAAGATACACACGCCAGTCTTGCCCTAGTCTCCTTCAAAGGCGTTCTTTGGGCCGCCTCATAACGTTAAAGCGCTGCGTTTTGCTTACATTTCTTTTCCTAAAGCATTGTTAGCAAAACGAAACATGGCGTGCCACCTTAACTGTCACGATAGGTTCAGTATAGATGCGTTACCGGGAGGGAACCGATGCTTGAATCAGTGTTTATTAGATGGTCCACTAGTCACGCCTCACGAGACTACTGTTCTCCACTTCAAGTCTTCTCTCTTTTACATCGTTCCTGCTCTTGTCTAGTATTTCCTTCACTTAATTTTGACCACTGAGAAAATAGCTCTCGTTCTTTTGAACTCCGAAATGTTCTTAATGCAAAGGACCTGGCTACCGGAAGTGTCAACAGGAACAGGACGAATCTGCCAGTCATCATCATTACCCAGGCCACTATCCGCGTCTACAGCCATGTCTGCGCAGGCGCGCGTCTCGCACTGCCCTGACCCAATGATCTGTGGGAAAATTCGATTACACATCTTAGTAACTGAGCCTGCGTAGTCTGCAGTGTGGAAGAATCAGGACTGAGGACTAAAAGTATGTGAACGAGTTTAGCTTTGAAAATTATAGCTAAAGAGAAAGTTGCATAGCGCCTTATATGAGGGGACCAATGTCAGCGAAATAAAGCTATAACAAGCATGAAGTATAATACACATGAATGAAAAGTCAAACATCCACCTGAACACTTAGCTTCTTATATTTATCACCACCTTTCCTGTGGGACATGAACCACTGATAAAGATCTTCTTTGCTCAGTTTTCTTAAGCTGTCCACCTGGAATAATAGCGAAAAGCAAACATGCAAATTAGAGTCAGTCTTACGATTGCGTTGGGTACGCTATTAGAGGAATTTAGATATGAGCACGAGATCGTTTACGAGGACTGACGACTTTTCAATCGGCCATTTCTGAGTTACGTTGTGCCTCTGTTTCGAAACGAGTCTTCGTGCATAACCTTTCATATGAAAATGAGTCTGCGTGAAAATGAACCATATGAACGGTTTCGCACCAAGACTCGTTTTGAAACAGAGGCACAAGGTAACTTGGAAATGGTCGATTCTAGTTTGTAGTCCTCACATTATCACGTTGCACACCCTTCTCATCCCATGAATTACCCTCTCTGCCTAAAACGAATATGAAAAGCAAGGGCTCTGAAAAAGTCACCGGTTTGAAATTTGAAAATCGTACTCATACTCAGTCTCGTACTCGTAGCCCAGTCTAAATGTCCCTTACATCAATTTTAGGTTCGGAAAGTCTTGTGTAAAGTTCTTATATACAATACAGGTTTTATTCACCTCTCGTCGTTTTCTGTTGAAGATGTAGGTCTGATCCAAAACTTCAGTCCAGTTTCTGTCGGCTTCGTCTGCCAAACTAAGATCCTCGTGTTCCTTCAGTTCAATAAGCGAGTCCACCTTGTGAGGGAAACAATATTGAGCAACAATTTCAGCTCAAGTAAAAGACGTTCAAGAAATAACCTTAGAGCGGTTTACATTAGATTGCCGTAAGAAGGAATCCAAAGTGAATCAATCAAATCTCCAAGCAAATACATGTAGCTGACATGAGGCAAGGGTTAAAGGCGTATTACTCAACTGGGAATCCTTCTGTGATATAAGGCCAGTTTCCACCATCATTTGGATGTTAGCGGGATTTCAAACGTGGACGAGTGTTGGCTGTTGGACGAGTTAGCCGAAAGGTCTCTGATGGGTCCCTTGGCAGGGACGAAACATACGTATGTAAGGCTAGCCACATAATTACCCATTGTGACCTGAAATTCTTACATTTTTTTCCAAGTTAAAGGAGCTCGGTCACGGTATTTTGGGTTATTTTGGCCACTTTCAAAATTACCTTCAAATTGAAGGTAACCTGAAAATAATAGTTTACTATGATGGAAAAACAAAGAGACCATTTTAAACCATAAAGGAACAAGGATGGTTAAGGATGGAGGAGATTGACACGGATTATAAACGTGAAATTGAAAAATTTAGGCTCTACTTTTCAAGAAGTGCAAACCGTGACGTAGCTCCGAGCGAGTACGATTGGTGTTGCTTTTCCTCTTATTGGATGACAAAGTAGCGCGAGTTTTTGAGCCAATCGTGTAGCCTTTTTCAGGGCTTTCCCACTGAAAACGTTCACCTGGATATATAAAGTTATGAACTGAAATATATATATGACAGAACAGTTGTTTACCTGATTCTTGAAGTCTTCGTCTGAAAGAGCACGTAAAGTGTCACCAAATTCATCTAAAAATGCGTCAATTCGACCCTCGACATGTTCTGCACTAAAATACAAGCATTAGTTTGTTAATAGTGGGCCGAACATGAAGAAATAACCAAAAAGAACGGTTCTCTAAAGTTTAATGCGTTAAGATTTACTCGGTGTTATAAAGAAATCACCGATTTATATATTTCTCTGTACGAGGGTCGCGTTCTTGCGCTCTTCTCGTGCTCATATCCTATTCGTAATTAAATATATAATATAAAAGCACTAATCAACCAGTGGCCCTCAAAACATATTTATGTCATCGATTCTTCGCGTTCACCTCGCACTGACCTCGCGCTCATCTCGAGTTCCCTCGCACGCTCATTTCGCACTGCCCTCACACTCATCTCGTCTGTCCTCGTGTTCCTCGCACGCTCAGCTCGAATTTAACCTGACGCTCTAATTCAACTTCCGCAATATCGCTGGTCTTTAAAGAATGACAAAGCGTTTAAAATATGGTGGCAACCGATACCTGAATTTTCCCGCTTGCGTTTGAACAGTGACTGAAAATCCTACAACTCCAAATGTGTTTCTACAAGAACAAAACACAGAGTACCTGGCAAAAAAGGGGGAAAAAAATAAGCGAGTGAGTCACAACCAGCAAGCGCGCTCAACAAAGCTATATATTGCGTTTGATCGAGTCGGATTACAATGCCTAATCGTGATCCTGTCCTCAAAATTAAAAATTTTGTATTATAGCAGATTAGTTCTGTGTGCTGTGCTACACCAAAATGAGCTGCCTTACCCCAGCTGTTCTTGAGTGCGTAAGACATCAAAGCATGGTTCTTCCATTTTCATCTGAAAACAGTTGGAATTCTCTCATAAATAAGATCAGAAAGACATGCTGCACTCAAGCCAAAAAAATAGAGCCAAAAGAGGGTTATGCAAAATTAGCGTGAAGTAACCCCCATTATGCCCAGTTTGAGAGTCGTTTTCATCATACTGGAACAACAAACAAACAAACGACAGACAGTGTCAACAACATACCAGCAAAAGATCCATGATTGTGAATTCTTCCACGGTGGCTGGACCAGACTGAATAATAAACAAAGATTTATGTAATTGGATGGGGAAAAAAAGCAATACAACCAAACGATAAGGTCTGTAGTAGAGTGTCACAGGAGGGCCCGTAAAAACAAACAAACAAACGAACGAAACGAAATGGAAAAAAAAAAATGAGACGCAGGGTTTTGGGAAGAACAAACTGAAATGGCTGAGCTCAGTTTTCTAAAATTCACATGGGGCGAGGCAAAACATGATGCGTAATATAGGGATTTAATGGAGAGGTATTGTTGTTACCTTATGTCTCACAGGGAACGAAGAAAATTAAGGGGAGTGGTCACCACGGGCTTTCTCTTAGTTTTCATCAAGTCTCTGCGCCCCAGAAGGCGCATAAGGCCGATAATTAGTTACGATAATTTGGCTTCATTAGAAAAAAAATCAAGTTTTACATTACTCGACACAAGAGAGAGGGTTGATGTATAGTCCCTTTGCAGCTGGGGTCACGTGACCAAATTTTTCCTAAAAAAAAAAAAGTTTTGTATTATGGGCTATAACTTAAAGAATGCCAGAAATGGAAAGAGCGCATCACCAAAATGGCCAAGTTTGAGGCCCCAGGAATTAACGAGTAAGTTTATACCACAGTTTGAATTTTCGGAAAATTTAAAGGATTTGTATGGAGAATGTTGCTGGAGAGCAAGGTCTTGCTTTCCAACAACTTTTTGCATACAAATCTTCTCATTCTTTCAAAAATTCAGACCGTCAAAAAATCTCATTCTCTGATGATGGGGGCCTCAAACTTGGCCATTTTGATATTTTCGACAAGCTTTTTCCATTTCTGGCATTCGTTAAGTTATAGCCCATAATTTTATGAAAAGTAGGTCACGTGATGGCTTAGCTGCAAAGGGCCTATTAAGAATATTCTTTATACCTGGTAATAGTTAGTTACGACGGTGTTATCATCGTCCTTATTAAATCCCATCACACGGCAGATGCATTCACCCTCTGGTAACTGGATCACTCGAATCTAACAGAAAAAAAACTCCATAATCCATAAGAATATTGAGCAGTTTTCACTCGAGAGTAGACAAGTTATTCCCGTTTGCTTTGGTTTTGCAAACAGTGTAAACTATGCCTACCGATTGGTTTAAACTGGAGTTAAACAGATTTCCAGCACTTTCCAGGACCAGAAGCCCTTTTCAAGAACTTTCCAGTTCTGGAAAATGCCACAATAAAATTCCAGGACTTTCCAGGTTTTCCAGGACCCCTACGAACTCTACATACCACACCTCTACCTCCCCATAACAGCCACACCTCTCTACAACGGCCACTTTCCTCTGTCCCCAAGGTGGCCGTTGTGGAGAGGTTTTATTACAGTTTGTACCTCACAAGATCATAAACAAGCCCCTTAATAAGCATGCTTACCTCGGGACGAAGGCAACTGCTGAGTGGCATAAACTGCAGTTTACTGCAAACAAATTTCAATGGATAAGTTAACAAAAGTTCATTTTTTAAATGAAGTGACCGTTTCGCTGTTAAAGTTATGTTATAAATCGATGATTCGATGAAGGCTTGTAAGGGGGCTAAAAGTGTTAAAGAAGATCACAGAAAATTAAATTTCCCCGGTAGGTTACTTTCCTGACGGGGAAATGTGGTTCTCCAAACCCCTTGTAGACTGATATATGCAATACTAGTATGGGACTATCAGTGAGAGGGGTAAAAAGACAAGGTAACTTTCCTTGCCTCGTACCATATTTGTTACATAATTGTGGGTTGGTACTGCTTTTTCACAATAACCTTTACGAGTAACAAAATTTTGTTGTTGTAGTTGTTGTTGTCGTCGTCGTCATCGTCGTTGTTCAGTTGTTGTTGTTGTTGTCTTCATCGCTGTAGCTAATTATTTTTTTTTATTATTTATTTATTTTTTTTGCTGCGGGATCCTCACAATGACAATGACATTCGAAAAAATAACCAACCTTCGACTTACCTATACAATTGCTCTTGCAAAGATATCGCTTCCTAAGAGGGGAAAACAAACAACAAGGTGAATGGTGCAATGTAACACAGAACATGACCAGCAAGATTTACGGTTGAAACGAATGTTTAAACAGTTAATACAGCGTATTTTGGATGTAACAATATGAACATGAGTTATCACCAAATCCGGATAAAAGAAAAGAGATGTGCGAATTTAGCAACTTGTAGAGAAATTACGTTACAGGTTGTACGCCATATCTATACTATACTGCGTTTCAGACGAAAATTTGACCCTGTAAATAACGACGGCATGTAGCGTCTGCGACGCAGGCTATATCTATACCTGCGAAGTGATATTTCCTTGAATCAAGCTCTCCACAAACAACTTTGATTTAAAACAGGAAACAAAATGCTGAAACGACAAGAAAAATTGAAGACCTGTGAATATATATTACATGCGCTGCGACGTAACAGGTTTAGATTTGTGTTAAACAGGTTTAACTGTACCAACTAATAACTTCTACATCAGTAACGGACGGTAACCCGTGCTCATGTTTACCGGTTTGAGAAGACAAATTCGCACCCACAGCTTCCAGTTTCAAGCTATTTCAGTCATTCCTAAAACCATACAGCAGCAAAACATGTCTCTGCACTTTCTCTCAAAGTAAAACACTTCTAAACCCTGCGAGCAGAGCCTTTTCTTATGTACCGTAAGAAAAAGCTCTGCTTGCAGGTTGACAATTCTAAAGCTGGGATCCCTTTTCAACATTTTGAAAACTCTTAAAATAATTCTTAAATTTAGTTACGGTTCAAAGAATTTTCTTGCTCCACAAATGGAAGGATCACTTCAAGTTGAGCAAATACCCCGGTGACTAACAACTGCGAAAATTTATGGACTATCATGAAAATTGCTATCAACGGAAAGTAGTTACTACATGTATACGTACTCGAAGAGTCTCCACTGTGGCATCAGGAATGACGCTCCGCTTGTCAACAGTTGTCCATTTGACATGTTGCAAGATGGACAGGCGAACAGACCTAGAAAACAAAACCAACAAAAACAAATCCATACACAGCTTTTACAGTGTAGCTACCCAATTTCTCTCTAATTTAATTCACATGCACACGTAATGCAGAACGAATTTAGTCAGACAAATCACTTTGTATAGAAGAATCTTTGTTTACATTATTTGCCGCATTAGCTTAAGCGATACAGTTTCTGATAGTTACATTGACGTTAGTTCTGAATATTGAAAGAGCACAACACGATTAACTGTTCCAAATAATTTGAGCCCGATGTATTGAATACTTTCTCTGCGATACGGGTTTAAAACCTCGCCGCAATTTTATAAAGAATGCATGAGCTCATTAGCGTTATTTTGCAGATTTGAAAGCCAATTTCTCCTCGAATGTTACACCCAAAGAACCAAAAACGTTCACCAATTAATGCGGTTCACCAGCTCTTTAAATGTTTGTAGTCAATTCGTGTCTAGCGTGATGCCTTCTCTGCGCAAACTCGTCAATTACGTCAGCAATGATTTTCCTAAGGAGACTACATCGAGTCCTCTCTTGGTCACGTGACACTAACTGTGTAAAAATTCATCTCCATGCAAGAAACAACCAAATATACTTATAAAAAAAAACTCGCCTTTTCATACCTGACTAACTTTTGTGGCTTGATGATCGAGTTACGGTATGACCTCATTAACTTACGCTACAAGTGTAAATAGAAAAATAGCATTTAAAAATAGCGACAAGTCTTAGAAGCAAACTCGTTGGTAAGTGACGATGAGGATTATGCCTACAATATTCCCAGTAAGTTCACCGCAGGCAGTTATACCCCCAATTAGTATAATTGCAGAGCTGAACAAAGAGTTTCCAGCAATCTGATTGGTTGAGCGATTCCTTACTGATACATAAACAATAGCCTCCATTTGGCGCGGAAATATGCTTGGGTATTTGTCTGCGGACATTATCTGTTCCGAGAAGCCAACAGTTTTCCGAGAGCACTCTTAGCCGTGAAAGTAAAGTAGATGGCAGTCAAAGATGGGGCAGTGGTAGAATTGAAATCCTCTCAATTAAGGGATTTACTTCTGTGCACTGGCAGGAAATCTTGAAGCCGCCTTAACTGGTAAAATGAGCGTATTCTATGAGAGTAACTATAAGAGTATTCTCCCGCTTTGTTTCTATTCATTACGATATTAAATGTTAAAATAAATACATACACTACACAGATATTTAGCTACCTTACCTTGACCATTTCAAACGTCTGAGTACTGACAGTAAAATTTGCCATGTGATCAGTGATCGTGTTAAACAACAGCTGAAGAAAGTAACAAAGTAACAGTAATTAACAGATCACATGTTATAACGGGGGGGGGGGAGGTATAACAGATATTTGACACTTACCGCTAATTTGTGGTTAAATCCTTCCAGTTTAAGAATAATTCCCGTTTCGCTGACCGTCATGGAATAACTAGAATTTAAAACTAGTTTTAGCGCAAGCTAGCTCTTTATTTTAGTGGAAGAACTTAACGTAAACCCTATGTGAGGCCCTTAGGGGTTTTGGGATGCAGGATAGTTGGGTAAAAAATCAACGGGATACAGGATATTTGGGGGAAAAATAATGGGATGTGGGATATTTAGATCAGAAAAAAACGGGATATACAGTAGGAAAATAGTTCAGTATTGCAATGGGAATTAATGGGATATTTGGGCAAAAAATTAACGGGATGCGGGTCAATTCATGCCAAAAATGGACACACTGCAGAAATTCCCAAAGCTATTCACCCCGTACATGCTGTGCGATCTCTTGCCAGCTATGTCAAGAGGTTTCCTTTGTGGTTTACTGACTGAATTCTTCATATTTGTTTAGACACAAAATCTAATCCAAACACAAGCCCATTCCTATAGACAACCCAATATTTTCTTCAATATTAAATTCCGAATTTATGAATTTATGAGAATAGACCATCAAAACGTACCCTAACTGAGCTACATCGGCAGCATACGCGATTTCCTTCAAGTTATATTCCAACACACTCAGAAAAAGGTCGGATTGAACCATGCTAAAAATTAAAATCAAATAAAATTGACGTCAATGAAAGAAACATTAAGGTAAAAATCATACATAAAACGAGTGAATGCGCTATTTAAAGAGTGAGTGACTATTTAAAACCAAAATCAAAGTGAGCGATACTCTGTAACGTACTAATCAGATATAAACAATACATGCACCATTCGGTAGTGACTTTTTAACACAAAATCCAAGTGCGCGCTACTTTATAACGTACCAGTCAAACATAAAAACAGTGTTTGCGCTATTCAGTAGGGTGGCCAATTGAACTATGCGCTTCCCTGTAACGAACCAATCAGACATAACAAAAGTTTTTGCATTATTCAGCAGAGTGACTATTAAACACAAACTCGAAGTGTGCGTTACCCTGTAACGAACCAATGAAACAAAAACATTGTCTACGCTATGAAGTGTGTAAAACACAAATTAAATCAAAGTGTGCCTTACTTTATAATGTGTCAGAGCGGGTAGTGCAGAGTAGTCAATTTAACTGACAAACGCCAAAAGCAAATACATAATTATGAAATGACCGATAACATTGGTACTTTGTGAAATTGTCTCTCTGCATTTGGACTATTTAGTCAGTTAATCAAAAACAACTCCTAAATCAGCAAGTAATATATCAAACACGAGAAACAGTGTTTCATCGGATATCCAAACACCGAGAAGAGAGTTGAAAAATACGATGCGCAGCGCAGTATTTTTGAAGGGCTATTAATACTAGTAGGCTGAAAATTCTAAATTAAATACTGTTTATATAACAAGGATGAACATGTGAACATCAACCATGTTACCTCTCAGGAGTGGCGTTTACCAGTGGCGACATAAGATGAAAATAATACCTGGCTGAAGATATAAAGACGATAAAATTACCAGGTTAACAGAAGAAAGAAGGACATTGATATTCAGTCGTGATTAGCGAGACAGCCGTAACCCCCTTAAGGAGTGGGGCTTGTGGTGATGGGAGAGATGACTGTGTTCGCTTTGTGTCATAAAATCGGAGTTGGGTTCATGGGGCTCCTTGCCTTATAGATTGATATTTTGTAAACATATTTATAAATGGCACAAATAAAACGAACAAACGTCGAGCTCGATGGCAAGCGTTCTACCATACTGCAATTTGAAGCAAACGAACAATGATTATCAATGATTACTGACAAACCTCGTGGTGTTTTGAATTTTGTGTCCTTTGAGTGCCAGACCTTCCCGAGATGGCAGTCATGGACTAGTTCTGGAAACTGCAAAGAAAAAGAGAAGAATGATCCCAACAGAAACTGAAGTTCGCCACTGGTTTGCGAAGAGGACGAGTAGCCAAAGTTCGAAAATTGAATCCAGTAAGAGATTGATGGTTTACTTCATGTAAAGGGAGACATGATGTTGTCTTGGATGGGGTACTCTCAAAGATATTCACATCTCGTTTCCTAAAGCAAACTTGCACCAAAGTCATTTTGATAATTACCTCACCAACTGGTCTGTCAGGATCTTTGATTTCAAAATCATTGGCTGTTGAAAAACAATTAGTGTTGTTACACATACATGTAATAATTATTATAAAGACAGTAGAAATGTTAACAAAGTCAAGAGTGATCAAAATCTAGTTTCTCCTCACAAAATCAACATATTTTTCCGCAGACAGGTAATGAGAATAAAGAAAAAAGACGGATTTAGGGGGGTGTAGATTGGGTGGCTAGTCACCCCCTCTTTGGAGGAGCAAAAAAGTAAAAAAAATGAAAACAATTGTGAATGTTATGGGCAAAATAAAGGCAAACACTCTAAACAGATACCTCATTGTAATTTCTACTTTGTGACTTTGCTAGTATTTCTGGTGATTCTTCAACCCAAAGATACCTGCCATCCCCCTCCCCTTGAAAAATCCTCTATCCCCCCTGTAAGGTGATATCATTTTGATGCACCCTCAATTATCGATGGAAACACTTACCAATGAACTTATTTTCTTCTGGAAAATGGAGTTCTGGGTTCAAATCCAGATCTGAAATAAATAGCATTACAAGATGAAGATCTAGCTCATCAGCTGGCACAGAAATCTGCAGCGAGCAATTGTTAAATAGAATATCTGGATATACTCAACCAGTGTATAACCAAGGCAAAATTAAATCATAAAACTGGATTGTGCTTGCACAATTTTTTTTTCTGTCCAACCAAGGGTTGAAGGGTATCCGACTGCTAGAATTGATGCAGTCTAAACTGGATAACAACATTTCTTTCATAAGTTTCTTACTTTTCCATTTTTCAAGCCACTGTGGATCAATATCTGAAAAGTAAAGGACAGGACAGCAATTAACCAACAATTGACAGACTTCTTTAGGACAGCTGAAGTTTAATATTTCAATAGAAGAACATTCTCAACTGCAAAATTGCTATCAAAATAGTACTCAGTCCTCAACTAAAGGACAATTTTAAAGTTGTACAAACCTGAGCAGATGTAGGGAGTCTGGAACCAAGGCTCATAATCAGTACATTCATCCTGGAACCTCTTGGACAACAGCAAAATATTGGCCCTTTCTGGCATAAGCATGTTCTGGACATTTTGAATAACCTAATGTACAGAACAAGTAAAACAGATTAATTGAATCAAACACATTAAAATGCCATGAACTTAGTTAACACAGAAGTAAACAAATATAACTAATTAAAAGAAACTATGCTTTCATTTCAAAATTGCAATTCAACTGTATGGTTTTCATCATATATCAATTACCAACTCTTAGTAAGCAACACATTGTAATCTTTAATCAGTTTTTGGAAGTTATCAATTAAGAGTTACACTTTAAACTTGATAGCCCCCCTTCCCCCCCCCCCCCCCCAAAAAAAAAAAACAAACAAGAACGCAGCATTGCCCATATCTATTTTTAATTACCTCTTCATTAAATTCCCACATCAGTTGATCTCCCGTTAAATAATCTTCTTCGGGATAAAGCTGTAAAAAGTAATACATAAACCCAATTTAAAAAAAAAATAGTAAGAGTAAAAAATACGACCAAAACCACATACTTAATAAATAAATATAAAGTATAATGTACATGTACACAAAATCCTGAGACTGCAGGAGTTGCCAGTCATAAAAAAGCTAGTTTCTGACTTCCAATGACAGCTGATCATTACGTATTGTTACAAAAAAAAATGTACCTGCATGTTTTCCACAAGGTCCTCGACATAGCCATAGGGCTCACACTGAAAAAGACAGAAGTCAATTAACATTCACCCACTGCTGGGGGTAACCCTGCGATGGACTAGCATCCCATCCAGGAGGGAATAGAAATACTCCTGGTTGCTTCATGCTACAGAAACCAGGATAAGCTCCAGTCTGATGGGACACTTGGCTTGTATGCAGACTTTAACTTACTGTAAACAACTGTGTTTCATTCCATGATACCATAACTGTTTTTACCTGTTCACGAAATCTGAACTCATTCTCCTCAATGGTCTGAAGTTCCTTGTATATTCTATCGATTGACAAATAATGAGCCAGTCACATTCAAGGAATCATGTATAAAAAGTAACATGAAATCACTTTGAATATGCTTTACTGTGATAGGTTTAAAAAATTGGTGCTACTTGGTCATCAAATCAGAGGGAAATTAACCAACACCAATCACCATACACCATACACATTTTCCTACGCTTGACACCAGTTCTATGTATTTTCTTCAATTTACAATAAACTTAGTTCATTGAGTTTTTTGTCTGGCTTTTGTAATTGCTCCCACCGGTTTTGGTTTTGTGGCACTCAAATAACAAAACAACAACAGGTATACATGTACTATAGAGCAGCACATTCTATAGAAGACAGCTGAGGATATCGCATTAATGTTTCACACAAGAAAAGAATGTGTAATGAATGTGTTTTTGAGTCAGGATGTAATATTATTTTGTTGATACAAACCTCTCCTGTGGTCCTTTCTGTCTGAGTAATTCCAGATATTGAAACACAATAGTTAAAATCTAGAAGAAAACAAATGAACTGCTTGACATAATTATTTATAAATGTAGAGATTCTTGCAAAGAATCACTCTTCAATGAATTAAACATCCCCAACAAAAATTTTGCAAGTACTAACAGAGCTATAAGCACAACACAACATGAACTGTACCTCAAAAATGTGGTCCATGCCTTCATCCTGAAATAGGTACAAAATTAATAAGGAATATGAAATGTAATTGTTATTGAATCATCTAAATACCTGCAGTATCAGTTAATTAATCAGTCAACTGGTACATACATTGTGTACATGTATGTTATTAAACTAATGTAACATCATATTGGAGAAATATTGGTTGAGTTCCTTTTTTTCTTTCTTTTTTTTTTCTTGTAGGTTTATGGATCAAGCCAAAAATGAGGTCCATAAACCTGCAAATATTGAAACAAACCAAAGAATATTGTCCTTTCTACTTTACAAAAACTGTCTATTTTCTGCAATGAATTGAAAAAGCAATTTGCCAAAATTAATCAGTGAGTGGGCTGGCCCATCTTAGCATTTTGTATTATTCGGACCTCTAAGGGAACCAATCAGAATACTCCTTTTCATTGCAAATCAGTTCACCCATGCAATAAATGTACACATCAACCTTTAATTAAGTGTTTTTATTAATTAATAAAAGTAAATAACAAGTACATTAAAAAATGTACTCGCCAATAATGATGTCCGCGAACATCGAAACGTCATGTCTTTTTTAACCATTTTTAAAAATTTCTATAATAAATGTTTTAAGAAAAGTTTTTTCAATCCTTTTATAGCTAAATGACAAGTGTATCAGGTAATGTCATGATGATTACATTGTACAAGTTTAGTCTCACTTTTTGAGGTTTCTACAGGTATGTTGTTACTTGCTGGGAGAAGAGAGCGTATGGTAAATTTTTGCCTCCAGAGCCCAGGCTAAGATGACGGGTAGGGAGGTTTAGGTTATTAAAATTTGAAGGAGGCCTAACATCAATTAGAAGATAGGAACTTGAGGAATGACAAAGGCATTGATACCAGCATGAAACTATAATGTCAGTGACTGGTTAACAGACTTACTGTAAGACTAATCAAACATGGGAAAAAAGCAAAACTAGTGTTGTGTTCTTGGCCAGATTCTCCATTGCCGCAAAGTAAACTGCCAGCCCAAGATCTAAACACCAAGAACAGTTAAAAAAGAAACATCGTCAGTGCATTGAAGTCTGTAACTCTCCTCAAGATCAACGTTAAGCAAAAGTTAGCTGTTTAGTCTTTTTGAACGAATAAGCCAAACAAAATCAACCAAATATTTATACACCTGCTTTATCTGAAACTGATAACATTCTAATCTTACTTAGCAGTTTCATCATTTGTGCAAAAACGTCTTGAAATTAACCTAGCCACAGATACTGTTAACGAAATAAACTTGATTACCATCCCTTAGGAGCTATACAAAAGTTATTTAACAGGCACAATATTAAAACTCTCACTTTTTTATCAGTAGTGACAAAATACTTCCTGGTCCTTCATGTCCCATTAACCAGGATACATAATGCATTGGCTTGATTCTACATTAAAACAATAAACACAGTAAGTTAAGGAATTAAGACATTCACTTGCTCAAGGAAATGCTTTTACTTGTTAAAGTGAATTTAGTTAACTAGTGTTCTTAACATAAATTTTGGATGCACTGTAAACCATAGTAACAGAATGACATCATACATGTATTTCCACACAAAATATAAAATACATACAGTCGAGCACATAGGTTACATGGATTTAATCAAGATTAGATATTTTCTTGGCTTCTTATACAACATGTAGCAAATTTAACAGTGAAAGAAATGTGTGCATATTATTAGCAAGGAGGACCCAGGTACCTGTAATACTTTTGCTGAGGTGGTAGAACCCAAGTTATCTCTAGCTGATGTACATCCTTCACTGGTATCACTGTAATAATAAAATTGTGAAAAATATAAAATTATGAAAAATAAAAATCTATACTATAATTATCTTTAAATAGCTGAAGAATCTATGAACAAAAATACGTTTGTGAAAGGTGAAGAAATATTATGATACAATTAGAACACAAGACATTTTGGTGTCAATATTAAACAGGAAATTCCATTATAAAAGGATTGGCAGTACTCCCTTTATTTAACGTGTTTGTACCCCTCCCCCCAATCTCTTTAGGTGCATACTTTTTTTCAAGAAATTTTAGCTTTTGAGAGTAGCTAGTTCTTGGAATTTACCATAACCCTATTTGGGCAGGGTATGGACATTTTACGGGGCCACACAAGGCATGATTATTTGTCTTTAATTTGTGGCTTGTTACCAGTAAATTTGTGGTACATTATGGAGTGAGAAATGCTGTAAACCAAACATGTCTGGTTAAAAGTATTTAAACAAGTCTTCAATATTGTGATATTGTGATATGGGAAAATGTGAAAAATAGTAACTTAGTTGAAGTTGAAACAGTCAGACTAATAAGTGATGTATACTGTTCTCTAATGCTGAAAATACCTGTTGTGTTTTATTCATAATTTATGTTATAGCAATTAAACCTCACCTTACCTTTATATACTTTATGAAATTTTGATTTATCAAAAGGGATCTGAAACAAATTATTAAGTTAAATAATTATTCATTTTTGAACAACATATATTAACAAAATATATAGAATCAATATTAATTACATTTAAAAAAATTAAACTTTCGTGCACTGAAGAGTTAATACATGTAGTACTGTGTAGTACTGTGCATAATACTCACTGTGTAGTCTTGAAAATTTGGCTTTGGTTGTGAGCTGTGAATAAGTTAAAAGTAAATTATTATTCACTCGATAATTCTCTTGCTAATGTACCTGTAGTATAAAAACTGTGCAGTCAACTGTAGCAAGTTGAAAAATTTACAATTTGTTCTCCAGATGTAAATAAATCAATACACATAAAACTCAAAGAAAACTATGAAATTATTATTTAATTATTAAGTACAAAGTATTAATGACAGTTACATGTAGGTAAATAGTAGTGGTACTGCAATAGAAATGGGAAAACAATATACAAAATAAACTTTTTAAAGGGCCAAAAAATATTACGATACATGTATATACATTACATATAAGGATTAATGAATATTTCTCTTGTTTCTATGCATAAAAGACAGAGTACCCATTTAACGGATTTTATGTTAGAAAACAATAATTGTTATTATAATTTATCAAAATACTTAGGTTTGGAACACTTGATTACAGACTGTCTATATTCTGTAACAAAAATAACTTCATCACTTACTTATTGGATATTTTAGAAAATGATTCTCGGACCATCTTTTCCAAATTATCAAGAGACTCTGAAACAAAAGACAGTTTTGATCAACATTGATGTAAAAGTATGCAATGTTCAGTGAATAGCTAACTAGCTACCAAATAAACAACTAAAAAGAAGACAAGGTAACATCAAACAATAACTTTTAATATAAATTATTATATGGCTTGTGTTTGTAGCCAATATACTGTAACATGCCCTCTGATTGGCCAATTCTGGAGCATTATTCTCACAGAATGCCATGGGCCAATTATGGGTCTGCAAAACAAAAGCAAAAAGCCATATAATAAACAACTTATTAACCTCAAACATTTGGTCTCTACGGGAAAATCTCAAACCTCAGCCTTGCCGTATACGGCAAGATCTCGGTTTGAGATTTTCCCATAATGACCTCAGTCTCAGTCAATAAGTTGTTATTATTAATTTTTAAATTACACAAAATGTTTTAGTCCTACCTCCTGAAATCACAGCTAGTGTCATGTACTGTGCAGAATACATTCTCTTCTGAAAATCTCGTAAAGATTTATTCACATCGATATTCTGTAAGCATTTCAAAACCCAAACATGACTTGTCAGCTACATAATTCAAATCATTTCAGATCCACTGGTTCAAATTCGAATAAATTGAATAAGTAGCCAGTTTGAATTTGTGTAAGAAGACAAATGTTACAGAAAAATATCAAACTTTTGCTAACCTTTTCCTTAGGAATTTTCTGTAGTGTTTCTTCATTTCCTAACATGTTTGAAATTAAATTTATTTTTAATATTTAACAATAGAAGTCCAGATATTTTAACTCCAAAATTTTCAAATAAACAGCTTTGAAATGAATAACGAGCAAAACTCAAGCATACACAATTGAAATTAAATTTTTAGTCCAACTCACCCCACAGAAATTTTCCAAATGGATGACCTTTTTCAGTCAGCAAAGCAAGGAGCTGCATTTTCCTGACAGAGTCACTCTGATAACTCATTCTAAATTCTACAAAATAAAATGACAGTCATAAAATCAAAAACAGTAAATCAGTGTTCTTAATTTAACTCCACAGCATTACCAATGGCAGACTTGTCATAACAATTTACATGTACTTCCTACAATGATGGGAGAAGAACAATGTTTAATTATAATTGGAATTTTTTTTATTATGTCTGTTTGTAAATTGGGGTCAAAGAGTTTCTCAACTATGATTCTTCAAAAGTCTTGTCAAACATAGCCAACCTGCTGGTATCGTATACAAATCACAAACACATGCTATAACACAGTAGTTGACTTCATACCACTTTCCACTGCCTGTATTTCTCTGTCGACACTGTCTTCTTTAAGAAGAGGAGAAATGAAGAACTGTGCAAACCTGTACATAGTTTGAGAACAAGAAATACCACCTGCTATCATTATTGAACCACTGTCAAAGGCATAGCACACAAAAATATTATCCATCACCAAATTTCTAATAATTTATTATGTAAAAAAGGAGAATAATGACAATCTCAATCAATTTATGCACTTGCAGACATTACGACGGTGATAAATCATTGCCCTTAGCTAAAGCTGCTACTACTCAATTAACTTTCAAAACTTTTAGTAAAAAAAATACTTTGACAACCGTCTGATTGGCTCCACTTCCTTTGATTCAACCAGTGAGAGAGGAGAGGAAGGTCAATGCAATATTTTATGTCCTGTTGTTTTATAAAGTCTACTCTTTCTAGTACAAGTTCTGAGTAAAAACTGACAAAGGTTCAAATTTCTGAAAAAATAGCTTGGCTTATAGATAAATAAACATAAGTGGTATGTTAAAATAAATTTCTACTGAACCTGTCTAAAGTTTCCCTGAAGTACTTCCGTCTGACATCAAAGACGAAGGTGGTCTGAAATGAGCATTATTAATAAAAATACAGTACAGATATATTAATTAATCATAGTTGTATTTTATTTTATACTTAGGTGTGTGCTAAAAAGGCATTTTGTTACGTTATAAGAAAAAACTACGTATACAGATTTAGCAGTTAGTAAAGTACATGTATCATAAATGCAGCTGCTACAAGTTCCTCTTGACTGTCGTAACTACAGTCTTCAATGGGCAAAATGGTATAAAGGCACTAAAAATCCAAAAAATATAGTGTGATGAATTTCATATCCATTTGATTTTTGAAAATGTGGTCAAACACAGTCTTTCACGTTCGATATATTAATTGAATCACTGGTTGAAGTGTCCAGGCCTGGAAAAATGTTAAAAACATTATGCCATGCCACTGAAGTAAGTGGAGACTGAGACAAATCAGTTCAAAATGCCATCACTGTCACTTCACTCAAGTTTGAGATGACATACTGCATATCGAATTAAATTCCTGGGGTACAGCTGCAAACCAAAGTGATTCAAAGCATTGCTCTTTAGATACATAAAGGTTGATCACAAGTGGTGCTCTCCTTGAACTTTCTACATAATTATACGAACACCAGGGGAACTTCCATATAAAAAGGCCGGGGTTGTTTATGGAAATTTTGAAAAAAACTTCTAAGAGGTAACAAGATCCTGTTTTGTGGGCGTGCCTTGAAATTTTTTTTTCACCCCTAATGGGTTCCAATTCTAATACAACACATTAACTGGCACTGATATTTTTTCAGCTTAAATATCCTAAGAGATACCGTGAAAGCTCCCTTTTGAGGTTGAACACCTCGACATGTACAAACACCCACCTTTTTAACCCCTAAAAGGTACCCCAAGTACCCCTATCCTTCTATCCTTCTCTTCATATGGGAGTCACCCCCACCCCTGCCCCGACTAGGTACGCATGCCTAAAAAAAACATACCCTTTCACAATCAGTTGAAGCATTATCTGATCCTCCATGTTTCTTGATAAAAGCATCAAAGGCATTCTCATCAGGATATTTTTCACTGCCCATAAAAACCACTGAAAAAAGTAGAGGCAATCTGCTTTCAGTTTCAGATGTCAAAACACGAAGCCATGCTCAAAACCTTTAGGTCACATCAAAATTAATGTAGCCAAAGGATGTGTAGTACGTGTAAACATAACCTAAGTTTTTAGAAACTTATGTCACGCTACACATTGTCAATGTAAACTTTAACGATTACCTATTCTCTCTAGGGATACATCTCCGACAGAAATATGATATTTAAATAATTACAAACAACAACATGAGCGATAACAGTAATGCACCAAGTGACCAAAGGTTGCTAGACTGTAATGGAAAGTTGATTGACAGTTACCCTGACTACAGGCAGGACAGCAGCATGGCATGGTTTACAGGAATCTTAATTTGTGAATGATATGCAAGTCTATAATGATTATTAATTAGTATTTAATTCTTACTATGTTCTAAGAAGTGAGCTAATCCTGGAACATGGTCTGGATCAGAAAAGCTACCAATGCCAATGCAAAGGGCTGCAGCAGACTGAGAAAAAGAAAATTTGATAATGATACATGTACATCAATGATCAATCATATATAAACATTTGTACACTATAATTATTATGAACAACAAATTAAATACTTCTTTAACACTTACAGCGCTCAGTGAAAAAGATATTAAAAACTGGAAGACACCTCTTTTGCTTTGAAAAGTCAAAGGTCCAGGTGAGGGGAAGGGGTACTCCCATATATGGGCTATTTTCGTATGTACCGCGGGATAGGGTAGGATTTTTGACCTTCTTGATCCTTAAATAGGGTATCATTTTTGNTTATGTTATAGCAATTAAACCTCACCTTACCTTTATATACTTTATGAAATTTTGATTTATCAAAAGGGATCTGAAACAAATTATTAAGTTAAATAATTATTCATTTTTGAACAACATATATTAACAAAATATATAGAATCAATATTAATTACATTTAAAAAAATTAAACTTTCGTGCACTGAAGAGTTAATACATGTAGTACTGTGTAGTACTGTGCATAATACTCACTGTGTAGTCTTGAAAATTTGGCTTTGGTTGTGAGCTGTGAATAAGTTAAAAGTAAATTATTATTCACTCGATAATTCTCTTGCTAATGTACCTGTAGTATAAAAACTGTGCAGTCAACTGTAGCAAGTTGAAAAATTTACAATTTGTTCTCCAGATGTAAATAAATCAATACACATAAAACTCAAAGAAAACTATGAAATTATTATTTAATTATTAAGTACAAAGTATTAATGACAGTTACATGTAGGTAAATAGTAGTGGTACTGCAATAGAAATGGGAAAACAATATACAAAATAAACTTTTTAAAGGGCCAAAAAATATTACGATACATGTATATACATTACATATAAGGATTAATGAATATTTCTCTTGTTTCTATGCATAAAAGACAGAGTACCCATTTAACGGATTTTATGTTAGAAAACAATAATTGTTATTATAATTTATCAAAATACTTAGGTTTGGAACACTTGATTACAGACTGTCTATATTCTGTAACAAAAATAACTTCATCACTTACTTATTGGATATTTTAGAAAATGATTCTCGGACCATCTTTTCCAAATTATCAAGAGACTCTGAAACAAAAGACAGTTTTGATCAACATTGATGTAAAAGTATGCAATGTTCAGTGAATAGCTAACTAGCTACCAAATAAACAACTAAAAAGAAGACAAGGTAACATCAAACAATAACTTTTAATATAAATTATTATATGGCTTGTGTTTGTAGCCAATATACTGTAACATGCCCTCTGATTGGCCAATTCTGGAGCATTATTCTCACAGAATGCCATGGGCCAATTATGGGTCTGCAAAACAAAAGCAAAAAGCCATATAATAAACAACTTATTAACCTCAAACATTTGGTCTCTACGGGAAAATCTCAAACCTCAGCCTTGCCGTATACGGCAAGATCTCGGTTTGAGATTTTCCCATAATGACCTCAGTCTCAGTCAATAAGTTGTTATTATTAATTTTTAAATTACACAAAATGTTTTAGTCCTACCTCCTGAAATCACAGCTAGTGTCATGTACTGTGCAGAATACATTCTCTTCTGAAAATCTCGTAAAGATTTATTCACATCGATATTCTGTAAGCATTTCAAAACCCAAACATGACTTGTCAGCTACATAATTCAAATCATTTCAGATCCACTGGTTCAAATTCGAATAAATTGAATAAGTAGCCAGTTTGAATTTGTGTAAGAAGACAAATGTTACAGAAAAATATCAAACTTTTGCTAACCTTTTCCTTAGGAATTTTCTGTAGTGTTTCTTCATTTCCTAACATGTTTGAAATTAAATTTATTTTTAATATTTAACAATAGAAGTCCAGATATTTTAACTCCAAAATTTTCAAATAAACAGCTTTGAAATGAATAACGAGCAAAACTCAAGCATACACAATTGAAATTAAATTTTTAGTCCAACTCACCCCACAGAAATTTTCCAAATGGATGACCTTTTTCAGTCAGCAAAGCAAGGAGCTGCATTTTCCTGACAGAGTCACTCTGATAACTCATTCTAAATTCTACAAAATAAAATGACAGTCATAAAATCAAAAACAGTAAATCAGTGTTCTTAATTTAACTCCACAGCATTACCAATGGCAGACTTGTCATAACAATTTACATGTACTTCCTACAATGATGGGAGAAGAACAATGTTTAATTATAATTGGAATTTTTTTTATTATGTCTGTTTGTAAATTGGGGTCAAAGAGTTTCTCAACTATGATTCTTCAAAAGTCTTGTCAAACATAGCCAACCTGCTGGTATCGTATACAAATCACAAACACATGCTATAACACAGTAGTTGACTTCATACCACTTTCCACTGCCTGTATTTCTCTGTCGACACTGTCTTCTTTAAGAAGAGGAGAAATGAAGAACTGTGCAAACCTGTACATAGTTTGAGAACAAGAAATACCACCTGCTATCATTATTGAACCACTGTCAAAGGCATAGCACACAAAAATATTATCCATCACCAAATTTCTAATAATTTATTATGTAAAAAAGGAGAATAATGACAATCTCAATCAATTTATGCACTTGCAGACATTACGACGGTGATAAATCATTGCCCTTAGCTAAAGCTGCTACTACTCAATTAACTTTCAAAACTTTTAGTAAAAAAAATACTTTGACAACCGTCTGATTGGCTCCACTTCCTTTGATTCAACCAGTGAGAGAGGAGAGGAAGGTCAATGCAATATTTTATGTCCTGTTGTTTTATAAAGTCTACTCTTTCTAGTACAAGTTCTGAGTAAAAACTGACAAAGGTTCAAATTTCTGAAAAAATAGCTTGGCTTATAGATAAATAAACATAAGTGGTATTTTAAAATAAATTTCTACTGAACCTGTCTAAAGTTTCCCTGAAGTACTTCCGTCTGACATCAAAGACAAAGGTGGTCTGAAATGAGCATTATTAATAAACATACAGTACAGATATATTTATTTAATTAATAGTAGTTGTATTTTATTTTATACTCAGGTGTGTGTGCTAAAAAGGCATTTTGTTATGTTATAACAAAAAACTAAATGTACAAATTTAGCATTTAGTAGAGTACATGTATCATAAATGCAGCTGCTACAAGTTTCTCTTGACTGTAGTAACTACAGTCTTCAATAGGCGAAATGGTATAAAGGCACTAAAAATCCAAAAAATATAGTGTGATGAATTTCATATCCATTTGATTTTTGAAAATGTGGTCAAACACAGTCTTTCACGTTCGATATATTAATTGAATCACTGNTACTGAACCTGTCTAAAGTTTCCCTGAAGTACTTCCGTCTGACATCAAAGACGAAGGTGGTCTGAAATGAGCATTATTAATAAAAATACAGTACAGATATATTAATTAATCATAGTTGTATTTTATTTTATACTTAGGTGTGTGCTAAAAAGGCATTTTGTTACGTTATAAGAAAAAACTACGTATACAGATTTAGCAGTTAGTAAAGTACATGTATCATAAATGCAGCTGCTACAAGTTCCTCTTGACTGTCGTAACTACAGTCTTCAATGGGCAAAATGGTATAAAGGCACTAAAAATCCAAAAAATATAGTGTGATGAATTTCATATCCATTTGATTTTTGAAAATGTGGTCAAACACAGTCTTTCACGTTCGATATATTAATTGAATCACTGGTTGAAGTGTCCAGGCCTGGAAAAATGTTAAAAACATTATGCCATGCCACTGAAGTAAGTGGAGACTGAGACAAATCAGTTCAAAATGCCATCACTGTCACTTCACTCAAGTTTGAGATGACATACTGCATATCGAATTAAATTCCTGGGGTACAGCTGCAAACCAAAGTGATTCAAAGCATTGCTCTTTAGATACATAAAGGTTGATCACAAGTGGTGCTCTCCTTGAACTTTCTACATAATTATACGAACACCAGGGGAACTTCCATATAAAAAGGCCGGGGTTGTTTATGGAAATTTTGAAAAAAACTTCTAAGAGGTAACAAGATCCTGTTTTGTGGGCGTGCCTTGAAATTTTTTTTTCACCCCTAATGGGTTCCAATTCTAATACAACACATTAACTGGCACTGATATTTTTTCAGCTTAAATATCCTAAGAGATACCGTGAAAGCTCCCTTTTGAGGTTGAACACCTCGACATGTACAAACACCCACCTTTTTAACCCCTAAAAGGTACCCCAAGTACCCCTATCCTTCTATCCTTCTCTTCATATGGGAGTCACCCCCACCCCTGCCCCGACTAGGTACGCATGCCTAAAAAAAACATACCCTTTCACAATCAGTTGAAGCATTATCTGATCCTCCATGTTTCTTGATAAAAGCATCAAAGGCATTCTCATCAGGATATTTTTCACTGCCCATAAAAACCACTGAAAAAAGTAGAGGCAATCTGCTTTCAGTTTCAGATGTCAAAACACGAAGCCATGCTCAAAACCTTTAGGTCACATCAAAATTAATGTAGCCAAAGGATGTGTAGTACGTGTAAACATAACCTAAGTTTTTAGAAACTTATGTCACGCTACACATTGTCAATGTAAACTTTAACGATTACCTATTCTCTCTAGGGATACATCTCCGACAGAAATATGATATTTAAATAATTACAAACAACAACATGAGCGATAACAGTAATGCACCAAGTGACCAAAGGTTGCTAGACTGTAATGGAAAGTTGATTGACAGTTACCCTGACTACAGGCAGGACAGCAGCATGGCATGGTTTACAGGAATCTTAATTTGTGAATGATATGCAAGTCTATAATGATTATTAATTAGTATTTAATTCTTACTATGTTCTAAGAAGTGAGCTAATCCTGGAACATGGTCTGGATCAGAAAAGCTACCAATGCCAATGCAAAGGGCTGCAGCAGACTGAGAAAAAGAAAATTTGATAATGATACATGTACATCAATGATCAATCATATATAAACATTTGTACACTATAATTATTATGAACAACAAATTAAATACTTCTTTAACACTTACAGCGCTCAGTGAAAAAGATATTAAAAACTGGAAGACACCTCTTTTGCTTTGAAAAGTCAAAGGTCCAGGTGAGGGGAAGGGGTACTCCCATATATGGGCTATTTTCGTATGTACCGCGGGATAGGGTAGGATTTTTGACCTTCTTGATCCTTAAATAGGGTATCATTTTTGCCCCTATTGGCACTGTGCTCTCAGTGTGACTCTCAGATAGGGTACCTAAATTGTATCAGTCAAAATTGCAGTGCATAAATGCCCAGCTCAATGAAAAGAAATTATCTGTTAAAAGTGAACTATCCGTTAACTTCCAATGTTACAGAAATGAAATAAAGTTGGCCCCTTCACATATTCTTAGTTTTTGTTTCTTTCCCTTAAACAAGGTATCAATTTTCATTTGCTTCACCCTTAAAAGAGGTCTGGGTAAGACTCTTCGCAGCAAACACGTATCTGAAATTTACAGAAGTAGCCCCTTGGTGGGGTCAAGGGAAATGAAGGTGACAGGGTATACATCACTCCTTGGGAAGGGATATTAATAGCACCAGTACACCTTCTAGATGGGTCATTCAGGATGAATTTAAGGAGGGCCATGCCCCCTTTTCTCTTTTTATTTTCAAAAATACCTCTAGCTTTAGGGCAGAATTTCATTCGGTTTGTGGGGGGGATAACTTGCACTCTGTCGCAAGTTCTTCAGCACCCTTTATCTGAATTTCATTTCAACGTGCTTTTGCAAATGATTTGGAGAAACTTACTAGTTTTGTATCTTTTGCTTTTCTCAATCTCTCACAATCATTTTCTTGGTCCCTATCAGGATCTTCGCCAATTACTCCATCAATGTCATCATCACCATCATCACTGTTATCATCGTCGTCGTCGTCATCAACATCACTCTCGTCATCAAGGTCTTCACTACACCCATCTTCATCATCTGTTGTTGACATATCACTGTCATGGTGTTTGCGATGAGTGACTGATTGTGTATCTGATACTAGCAGTGCTGTTAAACCATTTTCTAAATGTATGACCCTAAAATAGAAAAAGTTAAGTAAATTATTACTGAATGACAACTCCATATTTCATCTTATTTAAGTTCTGATAAGTGTTCTGACACTGAAAATATGTAATTGGGAGTTGTAGCGACCTTATCATTAGTGTGTTGGACTCCAGACTGAGCGATCGGGGTTCAAGCTCTGGCCAGAGTCACAGTGCCTTTCCACACCAAGGCGTAATGATAATAATGGGCACTGGCAAATGGTGAATTCTGCAGAACCAAGAGTTATCTGCAATGATTGGTTCAAGAAAATATCTCTACCCAAGCTACGACTGTCCAGAGGTCACAATTGAAAGTTTTGAAGGGGTGTGGGCTCTCAGAAGCCAAAATTAAAAAACTACTATTGAATTTCTGGTGGGGTGGGATTCATACCAACAAAACATTGTAAGGAAGGTCCAGCATACATGTAGTCAATCAAACATTCAAAAATCAAACTCAATCAAACTCAATATGTGGATTGAGTTTGATCGAGTTAGGCAATCCAACAAAATCAAACACCAAACTTTGTGTGAGTTTGATTGAGTTTGACACCAAATTTAATCGAACGCAGTCCAATGGATTGTGTTTGATTTTGTTCTAACAAAGTATCTAAAGCCTTGAAAAACATTATTGCTTTTCAACAGCAATTTTACAAAAATCAACAGTTTGGAAATCAAACATTCAACTTTGTGCGATTGCTGAACTCAAACACACTCAACCATGGATTAAGTTTGATTGAGTTCAATTGAGTCTGATCAAAAGTCAGTTTGATTGGGTTCGATTGACTATGCCGGGAAAAGGAAGAAGGACATGGATGTTTTCTGCAAAACAAAATGTAAATTATGTTTCAACAAATTTGAAAATTTCTCTGGGTGTATTCCAATAACTAATTCACACTGGAGCAAATTTAAAGATTTACTTAATACATGGATCACTGTGCTTATGGTCGTATACTTCTTTTGAAGCTTCGTCAAGCTTGTTTATAACTGAGAAGGTTTCAACATCCTTTCCGCTATCCAATGAATTAAACCGGAACTCACAACCCATCCAAACAATCAGACAAAAAATAAACGCCGTTTTAGAAGGCCGAAGTCACCACAATGGCACAGTGTTGCTAGCCAACAAGCATATATGAAGGCTACCTTCAGTCTAGGAAAATCTAGACTTATAAAATCACATTTAGCTTCTCTGAAAATATACGATCGAATACCCGGTAANATTAATTACATTTAAAAAAATTAAACTTTCGTGCACTGAAGAGTTAATACATGTAGTACTGTGTAGTACTGTGCATAATACTCACTGTGTAGTCTTGAAAATTTGGCTTTGGTTGTGAGCTGTGAATAAGTTAAAAGTAAATTATTATTCACTCGATAATTCTCTTGCTAATGTACCTGTAGTATAAAAACTGTGCAGTCAACTGTAGCAAGTTGAAAAATTTACAATTTGTTCTCCAGATGTAAATAAATCAATACACATAAAACTCAAAGAAAACTATGAAATTATTATTTAATTATTAAGTACAAAGTATTAATGACAGTTACATGTAGGTAAATAGTAGTGGTACTGCAATAGAAATGGGAAAACAATATACAAAATAAACTTTTTAAAGGGCCAAAAAATATTACGATACATGTATATACATTACATATAAGGATTAATGAATATTTCTCTTGTTTCTATGCATAAAAGACAGAGTACCCATTTAACGGATTTTATGTTAGAAAACAATAATTGTTATTATAATTTATCAAAATACTTAGGTTTGGAACACTTGATTACAGACTGTCTATATTCTGTAACAAAAATAACTTCATCACTTACTTATTGGATATTTTAGAAAATGATTCTCGGACCATCTTTTCCAAATTATCAAGAGACTCTGAAACAAAAGACAGTTTTGATCAACATTGATGTAAAAGTATGCAATGTTCAGTGAATAGCTAACTAGCTACCAAATAAACAACTAAAAAGAAGACAAGGTAACATCAAACAATAACTTTTAATATAAATTATTATATGGCTTGTGTTTGTAGCCAATATACTGTAACATGCCCTCTGATTGGCCAATTCTGGAGCATTATTCTCACAGAATGCCATGGGCCAATTATGGGTCTGCAAAACAAAAGCAAAAAGCCATATAATAAACAACTTATTAACCTCAAACATTTGGTCTCTACGGGAAAATCTCAAACCTCAGCCTTGCCGTATACGGCAAGATCTCGGTTTGAGATTTTCCCATAATGACCTCAGTCTCAGTCAATAAGTTGTTATTATTAATTTTTAAATTACACAAAATGTTTTAGTCCTACCTCCTGAAATCACAGCTAGTGTCATGTACTGTGCAGAATACATTCTCTTCTGAAAATCTCGTAAAGATTTATTCACATCGATATTCTGTAAGCATTTCAAAACCCAAACATGACTTGTCAGCTACATAATTCAAATCATTTCAGATCCACTGGTTCAAATTCGAATAAATTGAATAAGTAGCCAGTTTGAATTTGTGTAAGAAGACAAATGTTACAGAAAAATATCAAACTTTTGCTAACCTTTTCCTTAGGAATTTTCTGTAGTGTTTCTTCATTTCCTAACATGTTTGAAATTAAATTTATTTTTAATATTTAACAATAGAAGTCCAGATATTTTAACTCCAAAATTTTCAAATAAACAGCTTTGAAATGAATAACGAGCAAAACTCAAGCATACACAATTGAAATTAAATTTTTAGTCCAACTCACCCCACAGAAATTTTCCAAATGGATGACCTTTTTCAGTCAGCAAAGCAAGGAGCTGCATTTTCCTGACAGAGTCACTCTGATAACTCATTCTAAATTCTACAAAATAAAATGACAGTCATAAAATCAAAAACAGTAAATCAGTGTTCTTAATTTAACTCCACAGCATTACCAATGGCAGACTTGTCATAACAATTTACATGTACTTCCTACAATGATGGGAGAAGAACAATGTTTAATTATAATTGGAATTTTTTTTATTATGTCTGTTTGTAAATTGGGGTCAAAGAGTTTCTCAACTATGATTCTTCAAAAGTCTTGTCAAACATAGCCAACCTGCTGGTATCGTATACAAATCACAAACACATGCTATAACACAGTAGTTGACTTCATACCACTTTCCACTGCCTGTATTTCTCTGTCGACACTGTCTTCTTTAAGAAGAGGAGAAATGAAGAACTGTGCAAACCTGTACATAGTTTGAGAACAAGAAATACCACCTGCTATCATTATTGAACCACTGTCAAAGGCATAGCACACAAAAATATTATCCATCACCAAATTTCTAATAATTTATTATGTAAAAAAGGAGAATAATGACAATCTCAATCAATTTATGCACTTGCAGACATTACGACGGTGATAAATCATTGCCCTTAGCTAAAGCTGCTACTACTCAATTAACTTTCAAAACTTTTAGTAAAAAAAATACTTTGACAACCGTCTGATTGGCTCCACTTCCTTTGATTCAACCAGTGAGAGAGGAGAGGAAGGTCAATGCAATATTTTATGTCCTGTTGTTTTATAAAGTCTACTCTTTCTAGTACAAGTTCTGAGTAAAAACTGACAAAGGTTCAAATTTCTGAAAAAATAGCTTGGCTTATAGATAAATAAACATAAGTGGTATGTTAAAATAAATTTCTACTGAACCTGTCTAAAGTTTCCCTGAAGTACTTCCGTCTGACATCAAAGACGAAGGTGGTCTGAAATGAGCATTATTAATAAAAATACAGTACAGATATATTAATTAATCATAGTTGTATTTTATTTTATACTTAGGTGTGTGCTAAAAAGGCATTTTGTTACGTTATAAGAAAAAACTACGTATACAGATTTAGCAGTTAGTAAAGTACATGTATCATAAATGCAGCTGCTACAAGTTCCTCTTGACTGTCGTAACTACAGTCTTCAATGGGCAAAATGGTATAAAGGCACTAAAAATCCAAAAAATATAGTGTGATGAATTTCATATCCATTTGATTTTTGAAAATGTGGTCAAACACAGTCTTTCACGTTCGATATATTAATTGAATCACTGGTTGAAGTGTCCAGGCCTGGAAAAATGTTAAAAACATTATGCCATGCCACTGAAGTAAGTGGAGACTGAGACAAATCAGTTCAAAATGCCATCACTGTCACTTCACTCAAGTTTGAGATGACATACTGCATATCGAATTAAATTCCTGGGGTACAGCTGCAAACCAAAGTGATTCAAAGCATTGCTCTTTAGATACATAAAGGTTGATCACAAGTGGTGCTCTCCTTGAACTTTCTACATAATTATACGAACACCAGGGGAACTTCCATATAAAAAGGCCGGGGTTGTTTATGGAAATTTTGAAAAAAACTTCTAAGAGGTAACAAGATCCTGTTTTGTGGGCGTGCCTTGAAATTTTTTTTTCACCCCTAATGGGTTCCAATTCTAATACAACACATTAACTGGCACTGATATTTTTTCAGCTTAAATATCCTAAGAGATACCGTGAAAGCTCCCTTTTGAGGTTGAACACCTCGACATGTACAAACACCCACCTTTTTAACCCCTAAAAGGTACCCCAAGTACCCCTATCCTTCTATCCTTCTCTTCATATGGGAGTCACCCCCACCCCTGCCCCGACTAGGTACGCATGCCTAAAAAAAACATACCCTTTCACAATCAGTTGAAGCATTATCTGATCCTCCATGTTTCTTGATAAAAGCATCAAAGGCATTCTCATCAGGATATTTTTCACTGCCCATAAAAACCACTGAAAAAAGTAGAGGCAATCTGCTTTCAGTTTCAGATGTCAAAACACGAAGCCATGCTCAAAACCTTTAGGTCACATCAAAATTAATGTAGCCAAAGGATGTGTAGTACGTGTAAACATAACCTAAGTTTTTAGAAACTTATGTCACGCTACACATTGTCAATGTAAACTTTAACGATTACCTATTCTCTCTAGGGATACATCTCCGACAGAAATATGATATTTAAATAATTACAAACAACAACATGAGCGATAACAGTAATGCACCAAGTGACCAAAGGTTGCTAGACTGTAATGGAAAGTTGATTGACAGTTACCCTGACTACAGGCAGGACAGCAGCATGGCATGGTTTACAGGAATCTTAATTTGTGAATGATATGCAAGTCTATAATGATTATTAATTAGTATTTAATTCTTACTATGTTCTAAGAAGTGAGCTAATCCTGGAACATGGTCTGGATCAGAAAAGCTACCAATGCCAATGCAAAGGGCTGCAGCAGACTGAGAAAAAGAAAATTTGATAATGATACATGTACATCAATGATCAATCATATATAAACATTTGTACACTATAATTATTATGAACAACAAATTAAATACTTCTTTAACACTTACAGCGCTCAGTGAAAAAGATATTAAAAACTGGAAGACACCTCTTTTGCTTTGAAAAGTCAAAGGTCCAGGTGAGGGGAAGGGGTACTCCCATATATGGGCTATTTTCGTATGTACCGCGGGATAGGGTAGGATTTTTGACCTTCTTGATCCTTAAATAGGGTATCATTTTTGCCCCTATTGGCACTGTGCTCTCAGTGTGACTCTCAGATAGGGTACCTAAATTGTATCAGTCAAAATTGCAGTGCATAAATGCCCAGCTCAATGAAAAGAAATTATCTGTTAAAAGTGAACTATCCGTTAACTTCCAATGTTACAGAAATGAAATAAAGTTGGCCCCTTCACATATTCTTAGTTTTTGTTTCTTTCCCTTAAACAAGGTATCAATTTTCATTTGCTTCACCCTTAAAAGAGGTCTGGGTAAGACTCTTCGCAGCAAACACGTATCTGAAATTTACAGAAGTAGCCCCTTGGTGGGGTCAAGGGAAATGAAGGTGACAGGGTATACATCACTCCTTGGGAAGGGATATTAATAGCACCAGTACACCTTCTAGATGGGTCATTCAGGATGAATTTAAGGAGGGCCATGCCCCCTTTTCTCTTTTTATTTTCAAAAATACCTCTAGCTTTAGGGCAGAATTTCATTCGGTTTGTGGGGGGGATAACTTGCACTCTGTCGCAAGTTCTTCAGCACCCTTTATCTGAATTTCATTTCAACGTGCTTTTGCAAATGATTTGGAGAAACTTACTAGTTTTGTATCTTTTGCTTTTCTCAATCTCTCACAATCATTTTCTTGGTCCCTATCAGGATCTTCGCCAATTACTCCATCAATGTCATCATCACCATCATCACTGTTATCATCGTCGTCGTCGTCATCAACATCACTCTCGTCATCAAGGTCTTCACTACACCCATCTTCATCATCTGTTGTTGACATATCACTGTCATGGTGTTTGCGATGAGTGACTGATTGTGTATCTGATACTAGCAGTGCTGTTAAACCATTTTCTAAATGTATGACCCTAAAATAGAAAAAGTTAAGTAAATTATTACTGAATGACAACTCCATATTTCATCTTATTTAAGTTCTGATAAGTGTTCTGACACTGAAAATATGTAATTGGGAGTTGTAGCGACCTTATCATTAGTGTGTTGGACTCCAGACTGAGCGATCGGGGTTCAAGCTCTGGCCAGAGTCACAGTGCCTTTCCACACCAAGGCGTAATGATAATAATGGGCACTGGCAAATGGTGAATTCTGCAGAACCAAGAGTTATCTGCAATGATTGGTTCAAGAAAATATCTCTACCCAAGCTACGACTGTCCAGAGGTCACAATTGAAAGTTTTGAAGGGGTGTGGGCTCTCAGAAGCCAAAATTAAAAAACTACTATTGAATTTCTGGTGGGGTGGGATTCATACCAACAAAACATTGTAAGGAAGGTCCAGCATACATGTAGTCAATCAAACATTCAAAAATCAAACTCAATCAAACTCAATATGTGGATTGAGTTTGATCGAGTTAGGCAATCCAACAAAATCAAACACCAAACTTTGTGTGAGTTTGATTGAGTTTGACACCAAATTTAATCGAACGCAGTCCAATGGATTGTGTTTGATTTTGTTCTAACAAAGTATCTAAAGCCTTGAAAAACATTATTGCTTTTCAACAGCAATTTTACAAAAATCAACAGTTTGGAAATCAAACATTCAACTTTGTGCGATTGCTGAACTCAAACACACTCAACCATGGATTAAGTTTGATTGAGTTCAATTGAGTCTGATCAAAAGTCAGTTTGATTGGGTTCGATTGACTATGCCGGGAAAAGGAAGAAGGACATGGATGTTTTCTGCAAAACAAAATGTAAATTATGTTTCAACAAATTTGAAAATTTCTCTGGGTGTATTCCAATAACTAATTCACACTGGAGCAAATTTAAAGATTTACTTAATACATGGATCACTGTGCTTATGGTCGTATACTTCTCTTGAAGCTTCGTCAAGCTTGTTTATAACTGAGAAGGTTTCAACATCCTTTCCGCTATCCAAATTAAACCGGAACTCACAACCCATCCAAACAATCAGACAAAAAATAAACGCCGTTTTAGAAGGCCGAAGTCACCACAATGGCACAGTGTTGCTAGCCAACAAGCATATATGAAGGCTACCTTCAGTCTAGGAAAATCTAGACTTATAAAATCACATTTAGTTTCTCTGAAAATATACGATCGAATACCCGGTAATGGTTATTTTCAGTGAAAATACGGAATTGATCCACCGGTACTTTCTTTGTAATGACCCACTAGGAGTGAATCTGATCATTCTCAAAATTTTAAACCATAAATTGGACTACGAAACAGGAGAAAACAGAGGAACGAATGAATGAAAAGACGCCGATTTTTACCTGTAATCTCTGGGGTCATTCGGCGACTTCACAATTGCCGCCATGTTGTTCTTTTTTTGGAAGTAGATGCTTCGTGTATGACAAAGCAAAGGAGGTCAAAGGTCTGCAGCGCGTACGTGAAAAACATTTTTGCTTACTATACCAGCAGAAAAGACTGGGGAGTCAAATAGAAACGACATTTTATTTTCAATACTAAAAGATATACTAGTACAGCTCTGCTAAGGAAATTTTTAAACTACTGCTCAGCTAATTCAACTTAAGACGGGAACACAATAATTTTCCAACTTTTTTGTAACGTTAATGTCGGTAATAAACACTCACTGACACCTTCTGTTCCTTTCCTCCAAGTTTCACATCCAAGAGGGTCACATTTTTATCTGGTTCATGATCTTCACGCAGTAGTGGTTGACAGCCACTGACGAAAGCGGTGATGCACGCTTATTAAAAGGAATCACGTATCACGGCTGTTTAGCAGATCACGGTTCACGAGAAAATCACAGTTCACAAGAAAAGAAACTGGTCATGACACATTTCGCGCGAAACCAATATTATCATTTGTCCATAAAACCCTCTTTTCAATAACGGTCAAAAGTAATTGAATTCAATCAAGATATAGTTTCAGGTACATAGCCAGTATCTTTATTAGGCAATGATTGATTCAATCCATTCACACAAACAATTTTAAAAACGATTGGACTGGATCGCCAGTGAATTAACTACTTTCTGTTTTTTCTTTTTTCTTTTTTGTTTATAAGAAACAGCGATCGTACATGACAAGGTATATGTCCTAAACGTTATGAGAAACTATAATATTTTTTTTCACTCTCTTGCTGCCAAGCTGACATTGTGGTTTTCCTGGGCACGTTTATCGACCGACTGTTGCTTGGCCGCGGGATTTGGAGATGTCAGTTTGTGGGGTTTTCAACTCCGAAACCAAAAGGAATTCTATCACTTCTTTGTGCTGAGGAAGTCTGTGGGAGCGAATGCAAGTTTGGTCCTCTTGACTGCCACATGTGCCACGGTTAAGGCTTGATACTGAGGACAGCCTGTTGTAGAAGACTTGGAAAACGCAATACCATACTCAAGTACATTGTTTTATGTTCAGGGGAGGCACTGATGTAGTGGAGTATTGACAGTACTTCACAAATCTTCTATTGCAGTACTCAACGTCATTTATTTTCTCGCTTGCTAACTCCTCTTTTGCTTTTTCATCCATCTCTTTCGCAGTAGCGTCAAAATCAACCGGTGGCGACACCAACCAGGAATACGAAGGAACCACTTTCGGTGGAAAACAATGATCTTCATCGATTGTGAGCGTTGATTTTTCTACATTCGCTTGTACTGCGAAGTCTGCGAGGTCAGACTGTTGTTGAGCTTTTATGATTTCTGTCACTCCACGCTGGTCAGGAATCTTGGAACAAACTGACCCCATAATTTCATCCACCAAGCAAATGACGAACAAATGCGCCGCCTTTCAATGCCAGGTACCAAATAATCTGCTCGGCCACAACGCCTAGTTCTTTTACCCTGCTTATCAAATCGACCTGAAAATCTCACTTAACTAATTAGCGACGTTAATTAGTTAGTTACAAGTCAAGAATTTATTCTGAAAACCTCAAATATACGCACGAAAAACATAGTAAGATGAAACTGTGCCAAAACAGAAATCACAATGTGGGTGATAGACAAGAAATTTTAAGTTTCCACTCGATAATTTTTCGCCATTATTATTTTTCACTAAATCAGGTTAAGATTTTAGTAAACTTACCCCGGCAGTTTGACTCCCTGCCCTAATCAACAGCTACCCCGGCTTTGAGACGTTTATTGATTAATGATGTTAATTAGTGTTTTTTGATGACACCGGTGGCTTCAAAGAGGTTTCTGAAATACTGACTACATATATTCATGTTTAAGAAATGATAGGAAGGGATTTTCATCGGCAACAAAATTTCAACTCACAAGGCCTATGTGCAAACGTTTCCTATGTCATGTCTTGAAATGTCCACAAAAATGTCTTTCGTTTTGGTGAGTACAAGTTGTCTCATTCTTGCTTTCAGTATTGACTGAGTGGTCAAAAATGGCAGAATTGTAATCGTCGTAAACTTAACTCTCATAGTCTTTGATTCAATGTAGAGTAATGTTGTGGTTAACTTTGTAGTGAGTAAGTCGATCTCCCGTCGTTGTGAAGTAGACGAACCGTCCTTGTAGTTGATAATTGATTAATGAAACTTACCGTAATCTTCGCGGTCATTAAAACGCCCCCAAAACTTGGCTCCGTGGATTAGGCGTTTATTTGACTTCCGCAGCTTATTTGAACCTACAGTTTATTATTTCTGAGAACTTAATATTATTATACTTCGGATATAAAGTCCTCGAGCTAACCGAGAGTCTTATTTACGATTCTACCAAGGAAACCCAGCGTTTAATCGAGAAAATACGGTTCTTGTGTTTCAGATCTGCCTTTCAAGGCTGGTCAGCGTAGACCGAGTAATCTGTAAGGTTTACAGTTGAGCTAAATAATCGAAAATAACTCTGCTTCTCTCAATTTGCCACAAATGTCCTGAATCTTTGAGCTCCTTTAACAGTAAACGTTTTATTTGTGTTAATTTTATCTATAACTTTAAATCTTGGGGCGAATTAAGGGTGTATTCCATTCAAGCAAATATCCGCATTCCCGGAACATCCGACAAGGGTGGAAATGGTACAGTAGTTTCCCGCTTAAGCTGTGCGGAAATTGCGGTAAATGTTGAATTTCTGAAATGCGAACCATTCAGGAGAGTCCAAGCTAATTTTTTTTCGAAATCCCACTTCCCAATGCTCAAATCCCATTCCAGAAAAAAATCCCAGTGTTATACATACCAGCTCTTTTCTCTTCACATCCGCCAAATTACGGCTTCTAAATACGACCCAACGAAGACCCAAAAATTCACAAGGATTTGCAAAGATTTTCTGAAGACGATAGGATCGAAGACTGTACTGAAACNGCGAATTAAGGGTGTATTTCATTCAAGCAAATATCCGCATTCCCGGAACATCCGACAAGGGTGGAAATGGTACAGTAGTTTCCCGCTTAAGCTGTGCGGAAATTACGGTAAATGTTGAATTTCTGAAATGCGAACCATTCAGGAGAGTCCAAGCTAATTTTTTTCGAAATCCCACTTCCCAATGCTCAAATCCCATTCCAGAAGAAAATCCCAGTGTTATATATACCAGCTCTTTTCTCTTCATATCCACCAAATTACGGCTTCTAAATACGACCCAACGAAGACCCAAAATTCACAAGGATTTGCAAAGATTTTCTGAAGACGATAGGATCGTTTAAGACTGTACTGAAACGTGCAAGAAGGGAAGTTAAAGCGATTGGTTAGGATACAAGTTCCTGCCATTTCACCTTCCTGTCATTGCTGCCTGCAGGAAATCTGCCATCCGAGTTGTAAGTGTTTTTATTCCTTAGAGCCTTGTCAAACCGATCATATTCCTGATCAGTCGATGTTGTTTCAAGAGCGGTGTCATACCACTTTTCACTCGCACTAATTGGTTTCAAGACCGTTTCAGTTTCATGTCAGTTGTAAGTCTATAAGGGGT